CTATCATTCTTCAGAAACACAAGTAGTGAGGTAGTTTATAGCACAGAGCAGCAGATTGATTTCTATCTACAATGCAGCAAAACCTTGTGCGTGCAACATTAATGACAGTACAGTGATCGATAGTACAGTTCAGTGCCCCTGGTGATGCTTTGTTCTGAATGGACATTTTAGAGTAAAGAGATTAACAGTATAACTTTTGCATCAATGTGTGTCTAGCCTTTAGATTTGAGTTATCCAGGACCTGGTTCCCTTTCCAATTCCTTTAAATGGGCAAATAAAGGGGTAATGGTGCAGAGACTCATTCCAGACAAGCTAAGAAAAATTTTCAATACAGTACAGAAAATATAGAGAATCATATTTGAGAATGAGTGTCCCTGATTTGTCATGAATGAAGAAGCAGTGAACTCCCAGTAAAAACTCAGTTTCGGTACAGTGATTGTATTATTTATCACTGACACAAAATAAAATATAAGTACTTCAATCATGAAACAATGAAAGATTACTAGTAACGATTCTCTATGATACAACAAAATAGTAACTAATGCAAAATATATCATTATCTTTTATATAATTCTAGATTCACGGTTATTTAGAAAGTATTTATTAGCAACTCAGTTGTCAGATAGCACCTGATTTGTTCATAATTATTATCTGGTAACTATGATAAAATTTAAACATATTATATAGTATTAACATACTATATTCTTCAATAAATAAATTGGTGTCTATTCTTAAAAATACACATTATTGAGAGTTTTTTTGGGGGAGATAATAAAATCTTTAATGATCAGTATTTTAAAACCTCCCTAAACACAGATGGACCCACACAGTGTACTGTATGTGTTGGTTGAGTATATGATGCTGTTACTCACCTCATCAAACTTTCTCTCACTGTAGACTTCATTCTTATCAATAAATGTCAGCATGATCCAGTCACAGATAACGGTACACTAGAGGGGTGAAATTGGATGAAAGGAAAAAAGTTGGTGATGCAAAGAGCATTAACTGTCACTTCAAGGTCCCGAGGTGAGAAAGGAATGTAGTAGTTACTCACAATCCCAACTGAAGTCATAGCAGTTACTGTGCTGATGATAGTTGGGATGGGACTGAATTTACCAGCCTGCAGAGAAATTACAAACAAATAATACAATGACAGTTGCCACAGTAAGCAGATAACAAACTGAAGTGATGGAGTATCCACTCACATGTCCATGAACTATGACATCCAGACGGATGCCGTAGGCCTTGATAAGTGTTCGAGACTCTACCCCGTCCTTACTGTAATATTTGGCAAAACTGGACAGTTTCACAGAAATCACAAGGGTAAAATCAGGGAAACTCACCACAAGCCAAAGTGAAGACTACAGTTTAAAACGCTGAACACAAAAGGCAGTGTTTGATGTTGGAGCTCACCTGTAATAGTACCCGGAGTTGGCCTGATCCTTTCGGAGATCAAGACGACGGAAGGCATAAGTAGGTTTACAGTGTGAAGGATCCAGGTCCAGGTTACAGTTCCAGTTGATGAAAACTCCTATCACTCCTCCCTGAGCAAAGACACCAATGATCATGTCATAAGCAATGCTACAGTATTACAGTTTAAGTAGGTTTGTGTGCCATGCTTAAAACCTCAAGGAGACAGTGTGTTTTTCAATATACTGTAAGATACATATATACAGTAAAGACATCCTCAACATTTAAAATTAGAAATCTTTATGAATGAGGACAATGAACATTTTGTGGTGCAGGACTCATACTCACAGTCCTGCAGAGCTCACTGAAATTCTCCCTTGCTTGAGCTGCGATATAACCCAAGCGGAACTTTGGACAGTAGGGCTCTTTCTCTTCATCGTAATGACACTTATTGAGGTATTTCTGCATATCACGCTTATTTGAAGCATCTTTGATATTTCCCCTACCAAAGACAAGAACAGGAGTTCTTCTGAATCTCTGCAGCTCTGATGCCCATAAGCACAGCTCCAGTGTGTGTGTGTGTGTGTGTGTGTGTGTGTGTGTGTATACCTCAGCACTTTAAATTTGGGGAAGTGGATAGAGTTCCTGATGAACACTGTGAAGTTGATGGCCTCCACTAATTCTGGCTCTCTGTTGAGGACCCCAAATAAAAAGAGTAAACTTATTACCAGCAGTTGGTTTCAATTAAAGAACCTATTGCTATAGCAACTGCTGGCACAGCTCCATAGCAGTATCCAATTAACAGACATTGTTAATCCACCATTTTGTCAGATTTGTGACTAAGCAAATATAGACAGACATCTTAGTTGTACTCTCCAGATGCCCTCTTTTGTGCATTTTTGCCTCTCAAGATTGTTGTACTGGGGCAACTTGAAATGCATTATGGGTAGACGCTGTTGTTGTTGCTAGGTAACACTGTTACCGTCATATGCTCATGCCAGCTGAATAAATGATCAATGTTCAGTCAGCATCCCTCATAATTACTGTTACACAGGTGACTAATGAAAGTCAGTCAATAAAACCCTCAGTGGAACATTGTCTGATTGTCTGTTGTTACTCTTTTATTACAGTTGTTTTGTGAGTGCTTGTGCTATAGCCTACTGTTTTAGTTTACAGCTAAAGACTGCTCAGTTTACTGCTAACTATGCTAAACATTATGAGGCTAAAGTGTCGCTACTCTGGGATGTTTTTATACATTAAATATTGTGCTGTAAATGCCTTAAAACTAGTCCATCAATGGGTCTAACTAGGTTTGAGGGCATGAGCTCCCAACTTTCCAAATAGTTTTCTATGAATACATTTTAAAAGGCCTGAGGATGTAGCCTATGGTAAAAGAAAATATCTGGCATATCGCAAAAATGTAAACAAAGGTTTGAAAAAAATAATATATAATTCTCGTAGCAAAAATAGGTTTCTTCTGATTTCCTATTCTGTTAATGGTCTTATTAGCCCTCAGATTTATTTTGCGACCCTTTGGAGGGTTCTGACCCCTGGGTTTGGAACCACTGGTTTATGGTATATCATCTTTTTTCTGATTTGTAATCATTTGCATTGTGTATCATCTGTTTTGTGTGTCATCTTGTAAGCATTTACATGTGTTATGATTTGTAATCAGTGTTATGTGTCCTACCGTACTACAGCGTACTCCTCAATAGGACACCAGGTTTGGATCTCACAGGTTTTAAAGGTTTCGTTGTAGTACTGAACACATCTGCCGGTCCTTGTGCCTGTAAGAAAACATTTAAAATAGATAGAAAAATGAGGTAGGTGCAGACCCACTATGCATGTGGAAATATTTTGTGAGAAATAAAAACTGTACCATGGCCATTAAAGTCAACCTCCCCCTGGACACAGTCAGAGTCTGTCGTACAGTTGGCATTGGCAACTTTGAAATACTGAAGTGAAATATGATGGATGCTCAGTCATGAGACAATAAAGGTGTCTGTGTAACTGATACATGTATTAAAATGCATTTTCCTGTAGGCTTAAGTTGACCTCTTACCTCAGCGCAGGTGCCTTGCCTCTGATCATATGTGACGTCTCGTCTCAATATTGTACTAATCACATCACCACCCTGTAAGGAAATATAAAAAAAAACAGTTGTTTACTCTAGCATGTACATACAGATGGTAGGGGAAAGGTTATGTTCTTGATTATGCTGCAGCATTTATTCTACATCTTACCTCTGAGGGTCGAGCATACTCTGCAGTGTCCAGGATATGATCTCCATGAACTGCTGTGCCTTTCATGAGAGTGTAAACTGAGCTCTCTGGACGGGTTTCACTTTCTTGGTATGCTTTCTGACTTATAAACACATACCTTCAGGATGTTAGAACAGACAGAACCAATATCTGTTATGACGTCAGTTTTTATTGAAGGTTTCGTATTACCCTACAGTAGATGTGTTCAGCCCCTCCACCCCTTTTTTTGGATAAAGCCAAAAAAAGAATGAGAAAACATATTTCAATAATAAAACCCAAGACATCTAATCTAAGAAACAAGCTCTAAAAAAATAAAATGAATAGTAAGATCTTCACAGACTCTGGATCTATCAAAACCGTTCACCCCAGATCAAATAAAATGGATGCTAAAGAGAGAGAAACTCAATAATACTTTTTGTCAGTACTGTTTTCATGTCCTGTATTTGTTTCCCATTAGGGAAGCATTCTCCTCAAACTGCAATTTAGTGTTTGGGGATTTAAAGTCTCAGTGCGTTTGTTAAATCTTATATATTTGATTTACACACAAAAGCATATTGTTGGCAAATTAAGATTTTATACTTTACTGTAATTCCTAAACAAATTATTAACAACAAACACATCTGATAAGAAACTTACAAAATCAACATGCTGACGTTACCTAAACTACTAAAGTCTTACCAGATGAAATAGGTGATCACAAGAAACTGAACGCCTCTGTAAATCACTCCAAGAGTTTTATTTTTAACCACCATCACCTTTGGGGTCTCATAGTCCCAGAAATTTAGAAAATACTCCTTTATAAACTCCCGTAGTCCCATGATGAACTTATGAAATGCTTCACACATACTCTGATGCCCTTGCAAAGTCTAATTTGTCAATTTCTCTAGCTTTCTCCTTCTCTCACTATTTCTTTTTCTCACTCTGTGCTCCTGCTTAGCTCCCAGTCTGTATTTCGCTCAAGCATCCTTGACACCAGAGAGAGTGAGGGAGAAGAGGACGGGGGTGGGGTTTGGATGCATTTCCCTTAATGTAAATTTGTTTTGATGATTGTATTGTAAGCTTTACAATGGCTTTATATGACCAGTCTTAAAGTTTTGCATAAGAACTTAATTTGTATGCAGTGTTTCCCTGAATAAGCAGAATATGTTTCATATGTTTTTTAATCATAGGGCATGTCAAATTTAATGAGATATTCTAAAAGTTGATGCGCGTACGCACTGATATAGAGCAAAATCAAGATAATGATTTTATTATTTATTTATTCGACTTTGGTTGCGGTTCGTTTCTTTCTTTGTTTCTTTCTTCTTTTTTATGCAGGCACTCAAGTAGCCCACCTCTGGGTCCTGGTTGCTACGTGCTTTGGACGTCCCTGCGCATGTCAAATGACACGTGCATTTGCTGTGGTTGATATTTTTTGGTGCTAACTTCTTAACTTCTTAATTTGAGGACAGTTAAGTTTTTCGAAATTCGTGTAGTGGGTCACATATCATTTTTAAATGGGAGGTATTCAAAAGAAAAAGGTAAGCGTGGGCGTTGAGCTATTGTCAGGTCCAGGCACATTAACACCGATAGTAGCTTGGCTGGCTAGTTAGCCAACGGAGTTAGCTAAGCTAAAGTTTGTTTTTCTGAACCAGAAAACCCTGTTGGGTATAAAGAAGCATCCTGTTGTAACCTGGTTGTGAAATGAAGTCTTATGGTTTGCGGGGAGTTTATTATGAGGCTCTATCCTTGTTCTGCAGTTTGAGAGGGGCTCTGCCACCAACTACATCACCAGAAACAAAGCTCGTAAGAAGTTACAGCTGAGCCTCCCGGACTTCAGGTAACATTACAGCACTGACTGTTGGCGATATGCATAACACTGTTAACAGTAATACATTACCCTTTAACACTGCTGCAACAGATTTGCATTTTATGAAATCTTTATGAAGGACAAAACGTTAAGTTTATGTTGACTCTTTTACGGAGGAGTTGATTCAAGTTTTTGGCCACTTCGAGCTTTCGGTGTTTCTAATGTTTCATTTCTATCAAAATATCAAACATATGAGTGTGACGCAGCACAGTTCAACAGGACTACAGAGCAGCCTCTGATTTGGTCATAAAATTAAGACACCACCTCAAACTCAACAGTATAGACTTCATGGGGTAGGGTGTACATAGAGTGAGGAAGTCCGACTGTGGTGGCGCTAATAAACTGGCAACTGAGTATATACTGACACTTTATACTTTTTCTGAAATGAAGTTGAAAAGAAGAACTATCTAGGGAGTACTGTTTTGTGACTAATGCTGTGAATCATATACTTTGAAAAATTAAGGTAAATCTGAGCTTGGCATGAGACAGTTCTGCTCCTTAATTTGCAACATTGTCTGCAATAATTAAATGCAATTAGATATATCAAAGTGAACTACCATTGTAATACAAATAAAGAGATCTTTAATGCATTTCTAGTGTCAGGGGTGCACCAAAGATGGTTTCCAGTATTTATTCATCTGCAGGTTATTTTTTTTTTATTTGCTTATAAAATTTCATAAAATGGTTTTATAAAAATGCCTGCTATAATTTTACTCTAATCAAGGGCAACATCTTGATCTGCCCATCACACTACAACCCAAAGATATAAAATATGCCGTTTTGTGACAAAGAAAAATATCACTGCATTTTGAAGAGCTTGAAACAGAAAATGTCATTTTAATTAAAGGTGCATTAACAAAGATTTTACACTTTGTCTGATAAAATGGGACAGGATGGTGTGCCTCTCCACTGTACCACCTTCCTCCATGACACTCTGCTACCTTACAGCACTTATGTTGTTGTTCCATCTTCTCTATCATGTTGTCAAAGTACAGTCTTTCAGTTAGCCCAGTTTGCCACCTAGTGAAGGTTTTAAGAAGTGTTTTTCAAACCACAAGTAGTCATTTCAAATAGCCAGGCATGAAGGAGCTCTCGTTGGCTGAAAGTCCAAAACATTCCCTGCCAGAACCGAAGAGGCTGTGTTCTTTTGCACAGAGAGAGCAAAACCGAGGATTAACACCAGTTTGGCTTTTTGAATCTGTCAAAGGACACCTGTTTGGTTCAGATGTGGTGTTCTTCCTTCTGGATGCATTAGCATCTAAAGCTCAGTTTTTTTTAGCACTGCATTGATATATATCATCACAGGGTTCAGCACATAAATTGATCCATATCAGGATATCTGACTGGCAGGATGGAGCCACATCACGGACAAATGATTCCTGATGTTCTTAATTTTCAGGCGACTGTGCATCCTCAAAGGCATCTACCCTCATGAGCCCAAGCACAAGAAGAAGGTGAACAAGGGCTCCACAGCTCCGAGGACCTTCTACCTGCTCAAAGACATCCGTTTTCTCCTGCATGAGCCAATTGTTGGCAAGTTCAGAGACTATAAGGTATCATAGACATGTTTTGCCCTTTTTTTTTCTTTTTCTTTTTTTTTTTAATATCAAGTTTAACACCATCTTATGAACATGCCTATAAGCAGGGGTTGATGTAGTTAATTTGTTAAAGCATCTTAAGTTTTTTTTCTTGCTTCCATACAAAGAGTAAATCATTGGAGTCGATTCAAGGGAAATCTATGGTTCTAGAATTAAATATGTTCTGTTTTTGTAAATATAATGTGTACCTTGTTATAGGAAATTCTTGTTTCTCTAGTGGTGCCTTTTACAGTAATGGTATAAAATATAAAAACGTATTGTCAAAGTGTTCTAAATACTTTCTTATATATCTTGACAGGTATTTGTACGCAAGCTTAAAAAGGCTTATGGAAAAACAGAATGGTCCACAGTGGAGAGACTGAGAGAGAACAAGCCGACCTATAAACTGGACCATGTCATCAAAGAAAGGTGAGTCGGTAATCATTTCCACATTCAACACAGGAGGGCAGGGCATGCTTGAGTGATTGTTCTCTGTGTCAAGTCACATGTTAGTAGAAATCACTGGGAACTCTGGGGAAAGGCAAAAAAGGGCACGTAAGCAGTTTATAGATTTGTCAGATTGCTAATACACCTTTTTTCTTTTTTTAGGTAAGAGATGAAAAAGTCATTGTTTGAAGCTATGTTGTGTCAGTGGTGCTCCTATTTTGCTGCAGGTACCCCACCTTCATCGATGCTCTCCGTGATATCGACGATGCCCTCTGCATGTGCTTCCTCTTCTCCACCTTTGCCCGAACAGGAAAATGCCACGTTCAGACAATCCAGCTGTGCAGACGCCTCACTGTGGAGTGGATGAACTATGTGATCGCATCTCGAGCTCTCAGAAAGGTGCCAGTGTACACTGTCCAGCAACCACGAGGCTGCTTTATTTGTTTGACATGTAAATAAAATGGGGCTATATGATATGACTAGAGTTCACTGACCTCTGTAAATACTTGTCTGTTCCTGACAGGTTTTTATTTCCATCAAGGGACTGTATTATCAGGCTGAGGTGATGGGACAGCTTGTTACGTGGCTGGTACCATATCAGTTCTCCCATGATGTAAGTGCATAATGATGAAACGCAGTCACTTTATTACTATGGGAATACGCTGAAGGTGACACAGCATTTGAACCCATCATAAATTTCACAGTGTTGCAGTCATGCACAAGAAAATTAAGGCAGTGTTTGTTAATGAAGTGACGTTACACGTTTGTGTAAAATCAGTTAACATGACTTCCCTGAGCTGTTTGTGCACTCCAGAGATTATAAGTTACCGTAGACATTTGATCCTATGTTTACTCATTTTACCATTCAGACTTGGTTAAACCTTTTGGGTTTTTTTTTTGTTTTGTTTTTTTTTGCACTTTCAGCACCCCACAGATGTTGATTACAGAGTCATGGCAACATTCACAGAGTTGTACACCACTCTCCTGGGATTTGTCAACTTCAGGCTCTACCATTCCCTCAACCTGCTCTACCCACCAAAGGTATCCTTAACTCTAAAAGTATCACAAAGGTTTTTCTCTATATGTAGGTACATGTTGCTTTTATCTTTAATCATGGGTGGTCAGTGGAATGGTATGTATATTACCATAATTGTTACAGTTGTTGTGGCTTGAATGTGATACAGACTAAATTAATTCAGACAAATCATCCCAATTTAAGTAATCATTTAATTTTACAATTATTCTGAACAGAGTAGTAGGTAAATAGGTAATCTCGTAGTTAGGGAACAGAGAACAGAATCACTCCTCCTGCAATGGAATAGATACAGTATTAAATAAGAAGATTGCCACAGAGTCAGTCAGTCTTGGTCAGGGGGTCCAGTCAGAGTCCCCTACCCAGGCCCGGGTCCCAAAGAGCACACAGCACTGTCACAGTAGCATTCTCATCCTTTTTTCTTCCCTCTACACCCTTCAGCTTCACTGTTTTTATCCACAGCTTTTTTTTAGGCTGTTGTGTCAATTTCCAAACTTGGCTTCCTGTCTCCAGTTTTAGGAGACAACACACTGAGATGTACTTCAAAAACAGGAAACATTTGGCCAAATTATGTAACCTCATTGTTCACCTCACATGAACTTTAAAAGTTAAACCATAAACACTATTCTATTATATATTTTTCTTGTATTTTTGTGGCATCATGTGGACAGCAAAGTAAGAATTTCATTGTACAGGGAAACACGTTTCCTAACTGCATATGACAAACACTTTGACATAATACATATTAACATGTAACTTAAACCACTACACAGTACTAGCGTTAGTTCTGATGTAACTCATAAATGAATTCAGAGTTCACATTAATCCCCAGGATTCAAATGGCTATGGTATATTTTAGGCTAAGATCTTGTAGTTTCCAAAAATATGTCTATGTATATCACAAAATATTTTATTTCAGGCAGATTTAAGATTTAATTTGTGATGATGTGAAGTCATACATAACAGTGATATTAAATGTGTGTGTCTGGCTCTTTGGGTACCTGTTTCACACCTATTCTCTGTTAATCTCATCCCTTCTTTTGCAGCTGGACAGTAAGGCGGTGTCAGAGCTCAAGGAGGACAATGAGGATGACTATGCCATGAATTCAGAATGCTACATAGAGGTGTGGCTCTTTCTTATCTACTATTCACCCAGCTTGTATCGCTTTTAGATTTCTGCCTTGACCTTATTGCAATGGAGGTGACTTGAATAATGTTTATGGCGCTCATAGAGTAACCATGACATGATACCTGAAAAAGACACTGCTGTGCTAAAATGTTTTTTTTTGTTTTTTGTTTTCTCAACCCTGTGAGCAGCACAAACAAAATCCCACTGAATTCCATTGTATTGTGGTAGAGGCAGAAACCTCAGATATGTCAATACCTGGAAAATATTGCAACACTTTTTGCATTTCTGAACGCCACCAATTGTGACAGTACATTGTTTTGTATTTGAGGAAATTTACATGCAATGTAAGTATTCTTATATTCTTGTTACAGCTACATTAATATTCTGCTCATTGCGGCTGTCCTGTAACACTTTAAAGCTGTATTCAGACAGACCTTTTCCCTGCATCAAAAGGTGCAGGGGGTGGTGTTGGTGTGTTGTTTTATGTAACGGTGAGACAATGAAATTTTATCCAGGAAGTCCATTTAGAGAAACAGATTTGTGTTTAAAGTTTGAGAGACCAAATCACAGCACAGCAGGTTGTGGTTTGTAATACTCTCAGACAGGATTTTACAACTTTAGAAAGTTACCTCGTGCCAGCTGTTTTATCTTTGGTTTGATCATCTCAAACAGCAGAAATGCAGCACCACTGCTATAAATAATCCACTAGTAATGTGTGTTCGCATTGTAAGGGATATGCCAATGTGTAGGAAATGACACATCCTTTTGGACATCATCAAAGAAATTATGTAAGCATGTGTGATTGAGGGGAAATTTCAGTTGTTTAATCTTAATCTAGTTGTTCACAGTAATGGTTTGTAAGTGTGCCTGTAAGTACACAGATTGGGGATTGTTGCTCTAATCCTGTTGTTTCTGGCTGTGCAGAAACTGTCAGCTCTGAGTGCCAGTCTGGCACGGGTGGTGTCTACTGCAGAGGAGGAGGAGGCTGAACTCGACCAGTTTCCTGTTGATGGAGTAAGTAATATAGCTCACAACATATGATTACAGTTGTTTTTGGCAGCCTGTTTTAATTTTAGTTTGTCTAGTCTTTGTGTGAAGCTGTCATTTTAGTTTTTATTAGTTTTAGTCACGTTCATACTCTTTAGTCTAGTTTTAGTCAATGAAAATTGTGTTTTAGTCTCTTTTTAGCAATGCAGTTCTATTTAACCCAGTCAGTATAGTATAAGTACCTAGTAGTATAGAAGAAACCAAAAGTTTCTTTTAGCCAAACCCATTTCAAACAAGGGCATCTTATTATATGCCCTTGAATACATCCAATATACATTGTGTGATTTTGTGGCCACATTTCTCCCCATCTTTTTCCACAACACACTGTTTTCTTTTCCACTTCTATGTAATGAAAGTATTTCCAAATGTCGTTTCTTCTTTTTCTACCAATCACAAACCCCGGCCGGCCGGCCATCGGTCCCTTTCTCTGTGTCAGACTTAACTTTGTTTGTTGTCGTCTTCTAAATAATGCCGCGAGTGGGGCTTAAGGAAGTGACGTTGTCTGCGCAGTGCGAACTGATGCGGCCCCTGAAGCGAGACACAGGAAACAGAAATACTGCAAAATAATAATAATAATAATGCGACTAGCAACATTACATATGATTCACTGTATCTGATCTGTTTAAATAATACTGGTATTGAAATTTTGGCAAGACAGTCGTGGTACTGTGATGTGTAATACAAACTAGCACTCAGACACTGCATGTATGTCCTCCGGTACAACATTCACTCAATGGTTCCCTTGTGGAAAAAATGAGATCCAGAATGACACAAAATTTGCCCTATAATCCATGATCTAGATCAGACCCAGATCATCTTTTAACACACCTCACAGGTATGATAGAGTATCTTCATTATAGACCAGGTTATGGCAGACAATATGCATTAAATGGAGTTTTCAATGTTAAGTTTACATGACCATCAGATCCGAAATCCAGATCAGATCCGGATTAAATTTAGTCTGGTGATAGACATTGCCACACCACACATGTCAAATTTCGAATGGTTCTGATAACGTTTGACGGAGATATGAATTTTTAAATGTTTGCCTCATCTTAAAGATAGGGATTTCTGTTTTTTTTTTTCTTTCTTTCTTCTATGACCTTGACCTTTTTCAGCCAAAATCGAACCCCCTCTAGGGTTGGTCCCCACCAATGTCTGTACTAAGTGCACTGATGATCCACCCAGCCATTTGTCTGTAATCCTGCTAACAAGCAAGCAAACAACACACACCTTTAAACATAACCCCCTTGCCCGAGGTAATAAGAACAGTTAAACGAATCGGTCTCTGAGGATGGATGTGAGGTTATATTTGTATCAAATGAGTCGAAGTTTTTGGGGATTACATATTCATGCCTGGTTGCTAAGGATGAAATGTTTCACACCCTAAGAAGCTTGTTTGGCAAACAGGTTTGAGGTTCTCAACTACTGGTTCTGTTCACCACAGGGAATTTTCCAGGAACTCGGTCCTTTTCAATAGTAACTTAGAAACTTAAATGCAACATGAACCTATTTCCAGCTTTGCTTTTCAAGTTGGGACAATGAGTCCCTGCTCTACTCTCCAGTATACCAATGTGTATTGGGTGGAGTTTGCAGTGCAGCACTTCAAAAGCTGTAGCACTGCTGCAGGTAAGTCATCCTCATGGTACACCAATGAATTCAAAGAACTACACAATAACTCCAACAAAATATTGGCGTATTTATCTTTCAGTGGTCTGGTTTCAGTAATTTCCTACGTGAACAAGCACATCATTGTGTTATAGATTAGCTCCTCAGACTTAGTTTTTAGGACCGTTTGGTTGGTTTCATTTTTTTTGTCGTATCATATTTACTGGACCAACATCTTAAAAATTTAGATGTGTTATCTCAGGTTTGTCAAAATAAGTTAGGAGTGATATTGGCAGCCCTGGACACACAGTAAAAAGTGTCACACTGTGAGCTTTTCTTTTTGATTTCAGCTGCTGGGTTAGAGATTAATATTATTGAGGGAAATGCCATTTGAGATGTGTGTTTGGACCTTAGCAATAAATATATTCACCTGATTTCATTCATATAGACACAAACACTCTCAACCAGCTTTTTCAACCTCACAGGTAAATTTTGAGTTATTAGCCATCTACGAGTCTGGATTTTATTCCCCGTGTTATGGAAAAAAAAAAAACACACTAATCTTTTGCCTGGTATCTTAATCCATCGACAACCGGGAAATAATTTATAACACTCAGTAGATTTTGGTACCGTCTTGAAAGTGAAGTCTGTGAAAGAAAGCTGTTGATGCTGATTTTTCATTTTAAACTTATTCTTGTATTCCAGCACTCATGTTTAATAGACACGGGAAAAAAAACAATTATTCATTTAATGCGTTTCTTTAGGAGGACATGGAAAAGATGGAGGCAAGAGAAAAGGAACAGAAATGGCAGGAAGCCCAGAAGAAGCTTTTTGAGGGACTCAAGATCTTCCTCAACAGGGAAGTGCCCCGAGAATCACTGGCATTTGTCATCAGGTGTGTGGGCACTGCTGCAACAAAGCACAAATAAAGAAACTAACCATGTAAATATTGGTCTGATCCGAAACATGCTGTCTTTTGTTTATTGTGGCTGCATTACAGGTGCTTTGGTGGGAACGTGTCCTGGGATAAGTCTGTTTGCATTGGTAGCACATATGAGGTGACCGATGAGACCATCACACATCACATTGTTGACAGACCCAGTATCGATAAGCAGTACATCAACAGGTAAAAGAATGGTCTTGTTTTTCTTTTTGTAGCATCTTCTTGTGTTTCAAACGGGTACAACATATGAGACGTGCAGAATGTTTTGGATTCCTAAATCGAGAAAATGAGTTTTATTGTGGCCCTCTTTCCTTGTACGTTATCATATCCTTTACCTGCTTTAAGGGATGTCTTTCTGCTCTCTTGCTTGATTGCAACCCTGTTCTTTATCATGTAAGACAGGCCGTGTCCTTTCTATGCCAGCTCGCTCTGAGGGCTCCCTTGTCCCCTAAATACGTTTGAAATAAATAAATGTGTATCTTATATAGCAAGCAGGTAAAATCCTCACCAAAGAGTGAGGTTCTGATTATTTCACATCAGAACAGGGAAATATGCAACACTTGTTATAGTCACAAGAGGCTATTTTCATATCCTTGTTGTTTCAGGTACTACATCCAGCCCCAGTGGGTGTATGATTGTGTCAATGCCAAAATCCTCCTGCCTGTGGAAGACTACTTCCTTGGAGTGACTCTGCCCCCTCATCTCTCGCCATTTGTAGAAGAGAAGGATGGTGACTACATACCCCCTGAAAAACTGAAGATCATGGCCTTACAACGTGGAGAAAAGCCTGGTATGAATGGAGGCATCTCCAAGTGAACTTTCATGATGCCTCTGTAAAAACTTCAAACACACTTTTTCACATTTTATTTATACCATGGTATGAAGTGGAGTTCGTCATCCAAATGATTTGGATGTTTCCCAGGTCCTGTTGCTGCAAAACAAACCCAGTCATCACCCCTCCACCATGCTTGGCAATTAAATGTGAGGTGTTTGCGGTAAAGCGCTGTTTGGTTTTCACCAAACACGATGGCCAAACAGCTCCACTTTGGTCTCACCAGTCTAACGGATATTGTTCCAGAACTGCTGTGGTTTGTTCAGACTCAGTTTTGCAAACCTAAGTCGTGCTGCCGTATTGCTTTTGGAGAGAAGGGCTTTTTTCCTAGATACCTCTTTGTGAAAGCCATACATTTTCTAATTCTGCTGTCATGACCATAAACATTTGATGCACTTACAGAGGCCCACAGGTCATGCGATGAAGCTCTCTGTTCATTAAACAATCTGACCATGGACTTTGCTGGGGTTCTTGAAGCCTCTCATCTGTAAACGGTCTTTCGTACTGTAGAGTGGTTGATTTCAGATTGTTTGGAGATGGCCTTGTAACCCTTCGTGGACTGATGAGCAGCGATAAGTGCTTCTCTGAGGTCATGACTGATGGACATGAGATAGACGCACACTTCCATGCTCCAGAACAAGTTCTGGTTTTATAGAGGTAGCCACATTTCTTAATGATTGACCAGTCCTGTGCTCTCGATTAGTAACGCTTGGCGGCTGATTACTCTCTTAATGATTGTTGAAGTAGCAAGGGTGTACTTTTACTTTTCTACCTGGTTTCTGAATGCTGGTTTACTTTTGGGAAACAGTGATCACATAGTGAAATTTGTCATGTTTGTAATAGAAGGTGGTGAGGTCCACACAATTGTTTCTGTAGCCCCTGATGAATAAGAATATATAAGTGAAGGAGGGTGTACTTTCTTTCTACCATGACTGTAGTTTAAATTCTGAACTAGACCTGCAAGCAGTTATGCATGTCTGACCATATGGTCTCTGCTTTATTACTGCTAATTCAGGAAATTGTGCCTTCTAAAACAAATCAGCTGCACCCATAATAAATTAGGTGCATCATAGTAAAGGGGTTAATACATGCAAGTTAAATTGCATTGAGTTTGATATTTGTGATAAATTCAGCTCACTTTATAGATATTTCATACCAAAGAATTTTTGTAGCCTTTATTTTTTTATTCCTTTTTGTTCTGAAACCCTTATCACCACTGTCTGGTCCATGTTGTAACAGAATGAAAAACTCAGTCTGAGCAGTTTTTATAGGCACTGTTGATTCAAAGGTTATGAACACAATTTAAACATTTTTTCCATCACAGCCCATGAACAGGAGGAAGACAGTGAAGAAGAAGATGAGCAGAGCGAGGATGAAGAGGATGAGGACGATGAAGAAGAGGTAGACGAGGAAGAAGATGCAGAAGAGGAGAACCTTAAGAAAATGGAAGAACAGAAATCCCGGGGCAAGGTAGGAGACATCTGATCTATCTTCTTTGAGCCCAGAGTCATCTCCTGTTTTTAGAAACTTGTGGAAGCCGACTCATCTGTCGTCTTTTTCTGTGTAGTCTCCACAAGTCAAGGTGACACCAGGGAAGGTTAAGGTAGAAAACCCAGCACGCTTGGAGCAGGAGGAAAAAGCAGAGGAGAAACGTCTTGCCATCATGATGATGAATAAAAAAGAGAAGTACCTCTATGACAAGATCATGTTTGGAAAGAAGAGAAAAGTCCGAGAGGTTTGTTCTATTTTTATTGATTGAATGTGGATTCACGTGTAGATAAGGTTGTTTATGCAGCTCTGTGAAAAGATAAAGTTACATTTTTAACATTGCATCCTGTGTTTTCATTATCTGGCATCCTTATCTCGGACAGAGAATATTTAACAGTATGGTGTAGCTGCTGTGAACATGCCTATCCGGTCACTGAACTCTAAAATGCTCATGTAACTGGCGTTCATTCCATTCGTTGTCTTTTTACAGGCTAACAAACTTGCTGCCAAGAGGAAGGCCTATGATAATGCTGAAAAGGCAAAGAAGAAAAAGACCAGAAAGTAACTCCAGCTGGCTTCTTCAGACCAACTTTATGTATTTAACTTCAGGAAGTAGTGTGTGTTACTGGTTGACAAACATGTATGTGCATTAGAGAGTTCTGCGAGTGTGTTAACTTGTGCATAATTTCTAACTGAAATGCAGGATGTGGCATATGCTTGTGTAATTATTCATGTAAAAGTGTTTCCTTCATTGTGTATGCATGAATTCTGCTTTGTTTTACAGTACACAAGATATGTATTCCACTTTATTTAAAGATTTGTACTTTAAAGTGTAAGTAAAAACAACGTCAAGTCTTGTGATCTTGAAACGGTGAGGTGAAGTTGTTCTTTAACTGTTGTGATGTCATCTCACTGCATCACTGGGCAGCATTTTCAAGAAGGATCAGTTAATGTTTAAAGCAAGTCACAAGTCTGCTAATGGATCTGCCTTTAATTGTCACATTTAACAACTGGGTATGGGCCAGAAGAGATTCTCACAGGGTGGAAGTACAGTAGGTCTGACAAGACTTAGAGGTCCGCACCTGTGCAGTGTGCAGAGGCTGTTGACACTGTGTTGATGTTGGTAAGTCACTTGAGTGGTTGGTCCACGATGTGGGCGTTCACGATGAATGAGCATAAAGAGATCCTGCTGTGGACCAAAGGCCGGGCCAGTTATGGCCTGCACTCAGTCTCCTCATTGAGTTTGTGACACTTCTTGCTCCTCTGTTCCCTACCCTCATCTACATTCCATGCATGCCCGCCCAGTCTGACTGTCAGCCTGTCACTCCGAGTGCCTTGAGACAAAGGCATGGCCTGCTCAACAAAAGCAACAGTGTTGTGCCTAAACATTATAGATGTGGGACGCAAAGCATGAATCCACTGTCCCTCCAGGAATCAGGGCAGCAGTGTGGTGAGAGAGCTTTTGCATACTATAATGAATAACCCGCTAAAACCACTTTATCGCTAGATCCTGCCATGCAGAGGCAAATTGTCACTCATTTTGAATGTTCATTTCGGTCTCTACTGAAATGTTTGTGCTGTCTTGCATGAGATTGTACAACCCCAAATCAGAAAAAGTTGGGATGGTATGTGAAATCAAAATTAAAACTGAATATAGTGATCTTTAAATCATCTATGTCCCATGTTACATTGAGAACAGCACTGCAGTGCATTATTTGATGTGATACCTCATCAATTTTATTCTTTGTTCAAAATAACTCAGTTCAGTTCTGATGCCTGTAACGCATTCCAAAAATAATTGTGATGGCTGCATTTCAGGGCCAGTAATGAGGTAGAACAGTGAAATGAAACGTGATTGTAAGCATGTTTTGGAACAAAAGTCGCATCCAAGAAAGGCTGAGCCCTTTAGGAGCAAAGATGGGCCGAGGATCACCAGTTTGCCAACCTATGCCTGAGAAAATTATTGAAATGTTCAAAAACAATGTTCCTCAAAGAAAGATGGGAAGGGATTTTGATATGTCACTCTCTACGGTGGATATAATTAAAAGATTCAAGGAACCTGGAGGGATTTCATTGTGTAAAGGGATCAAGCCTAAGCTGGATGACTGTTTTCTGATCCCTCAGATGACACTGCATCAAGAACTGTCACTCTTATAAGCGATATAACCACACGGGCTCAGGATTACTTTGGCACACCTGTGTCAGTCACCACAATACATAGATACATCTATACATGCTGCTTAAAACTACTGTGCCAAAAGGAAGTCCCGTGTCAACAGTGTCCAGAAACACAATCGTCTGCTCTGGGTTCAGTGGTATCTTGGACGGACTATCACACAGTGGAAACGTGTACTGTGTCAGATGAATCAGTGTTTCAGGTCTTTTTTTTTTTTGGAAGGGATGGATGCTGTGTGCTTTGGACCAAAGACAAAAAGGACCATTCAGACTGTTACCAACAACAAGTCCAAAAGCCAGGGTCTGTCATGGTCAAATTACAATATACAGAGTTAAAATAGTGACCACTTTTAATGCATAGATTGCTCATGTACTACTGTTAGATGAGCCTGCAAGATGTGTAGGTTGCTCAGTCTGTTAACCGGTGGTGTAAAATCTGTATATTCCTCCTATTGTACTTACAGACACAGCTTGCTAAATAAGCATTTCAAACGACAGAGCAGGCTTGATCAAGTGGTACAATTAGAGCCTTTGTGCTTTAGCTTTCTGCATTGATTCTTTTTATGCTGTTTCCACCCCTCCTATCAGCTTGCAGCTCAGAGTCCAGTGTCTGCACTCAATAGCCCTCTGTATGTAGACACAGAACGGGATCTGTACAGCCCCTCTCCTACCTCCTTGCCTTTTTCATCTCATTAGCATGTGCACGTCTCCTGACAGCGACCCTGACGTCACAGGTGGTTAAATGAGCCTCTCTGCAGTGGGAGAGGTGGCAGCAGATGTACATACAGAAAGAGGAGAAGTAATCAGATGAATGAGCTCTACACCACTGGCTATGATAAGGAGAGTGTGGGACTGTGCTGAGTTTAACTATGTGTATGTCATGATCAGACATATGGACAGCTGTAGGAGGGAGATCCACTGGTAGAAGTGATCTGGAACTAGATGAAAATACGGTTGGAACACCTCCCTTAGATTTTTGGATTTATGCATAAGGGTAAGAAATTAATCTCCAGTCCTCTAATTAGATTTTCTCTCCAAAATGATGTTGTTTTGTGGTTTGATCTTGATGATGGTCTTTATTACTAAAAGTTTTTTTTAAAGAAGTTACCTAAGACTATCTACTGTAACTTTCACATGAAATGCAGATGAGGGAAACAGCTGCTTCCTCTTAATGATTCTGCTTAAATATTACTCTCTTTGCAGAGTTCCTATTATACAGTGACAAAATGAACTTGTTTTGGGTTTGGTATGCAACCGTACAAACCCCAGGGTAAACATTTTAAAAGCCAACATGGAAGCTTAAGACATCTACCTCAAGCAAAAACAAAATCCAAAAATGGACATCGTACTTTAGACTAAGCAGGGATTTAATTTGAATGTACAAAGGTTGTCACGGTTACAGGTGGTGGATTCATTAAATCTTCGTTGAGTGATTTGCACACATGATCAAAAGTATTGTACCAAACACCATATCAGATCCAAATTTCCATTCCTAGGAATAATATAGTTAAAAAGTGCTAATTGTTATGAGTAACTACTTTACATTAGTACTTTTTACAAAGTGACCAAACTCTTATAATGTTTCAGGTTTCTCCATTATATAACAAAATTAAAGGGTGCAATAAAGCTTTAAAAAGAATTTAAAACACTATGAAATTCAGTCATTAAACATGACTGAAATCATGTTTCCAAAATCACTGACATGAAGTACTGATATGAGCCAGTAGAACTGAGCATGAGATTTTCATTTGCTATAATCTAAATAAATGGAAGAGGGTGACATATTGCTGGGTTTTATTTACTGCCAGAGCAATATTTTCGGAGCTTTAGCATGTTGACCGGTATTTAAAACAGTGCTGGCACTGGGTGCATTATCCACTGATATAGGTTGAGGAAGATGCAATGAAATCTCAACTGATGTCCTGATTATGCTGCAGACCAACCTGTCCTAAAAAAAATAAATACATATATGGAAATGACTAATACTTTCCCTGAAATCTGATTTTCACCTAAATCTTTCCATAAATGTTAATTAATTACATTTTAATAAACTATCAGATTTCTTTCTTTGACAAAACAGCAAAAGCAGAATCTTATGTGACCAATGTGTGTATACTACTGTATATCTGCTTTTTATTTGGGTTGCATTGTGCAGCATAATGCTGCATAATGTGTCACTTTGTTACCTGTGCACCTGAGTAAGTAGGTGGCTCATCTTACCACAGTCTGCAGGGAAAATGCAATATCACTTTCCCTGGCAATGCATTATTTATTCAATGGGCCAGCTGAGAAACACCAGGTTGGTCTTTTCAAGTTGCAGCTATGTCATTTTGTAGCTCAGCATACACGTTTAACTACACCCTGTACTTAAAATGATTATGGACAGCCAGTGAGTTCCATCAGGGTCACTGTGATAATCATGTCAAATACAGAGAAGGTAACTCCTGCTGACTAAATACTCTTGGGCACTTTAAATTATGGTGCACTTGATCACAGTACTATACAGAAAATCTACAATTTTCAGAGCTGCCCTTAGAGAATCATCATATTTATACCTATAAAGTTGAAGTCATTTTATAACTATTTAAATCCAACTATTAGTATTATTCCAATCATTTTCTTGTAACTGTCTTTATCAAAATTTCAGTTGTGTGCAAAATAAGGCTTCCAACATACACAGATAAGCATGTTAAAAAAAATCTGTAAATTACTCACTACACTTTGTTTTGGCAACTCACACCCCGACTCACAGGCTACAACATCACATACAGTATAATATGTACATTCACAAATGTATACATCAAGTACATATACACATAAGAACAAAAATAATGATAAAACATACTCAGCCCTGTGAAAGACTGGCAACCTTTCTGCCTTGGATTCTTGTATCTGTCTAAATAACAAAAAGCAACATCTGGGTGCTAGCACATACAGTAGGAAATGCTTACCATGATGATCATAACGATGATGGCTCTGATGATGCTAATAACGAAGAAGATGTTCTGTGTTTTTACAGTAGCTGATTTGTTGATTCTGCTGGATCATGAATGGCAAACAAATGAAGAAGTATAGATCCAGGTGTAAAGGCCTTGTCCTAGGTACACTTGTGGCCAGCTGCGTGATCCTGCTTTACTGCCTCTCCACCCCACAGATCCACTTCAGTCTACCTGAGTAAGACTCATCACACTGGTGTACACATGCTCTGTAGAAAACACCATGTAAAACAAACAGCATATCAAATTCATGCAGCGGTTACTGTATTGTAGAGCTGGAATGATTAGTTGACAGTTAAAATAATTTTTCCAAGCAAAAATGATCAAATACTTTTCTAGTTCCAACCTCTCAAATGTGACAGATTTCTGCTTTTCATTATTTGGTGTGAGTAATCTGAAAGCATATTTTTTTTATGAGTGCATTTGTTATTTGATTCTTTTTCTTATTTTCTTCTCTGTAGGGTTCCAGTGCCTTACTCCTGTGCCCACCATCCATCCCAGCTTCGTTCCAAACCAACCACAAACAGCTCACAGCAAACCACTGGTCAAACATGCACTCCTAAAGTGGATATCATGTTCATGAAGACCCATAAAACAGCCAGCAGCACCTTCCTCAACATCCTTTTCCGCTTTGGAGAGAAACACCAGCTTAAATTTGCGTTTCCTAACAGCCGAAATGACTTTTCCTATCCCTCTCTCTTTGAGCGCTCCCACGTAAAAGACTATAGACCTGGAATGTGCTTCAATATTATCTGTAATCACATGCGATTCAATGCACCAGAGGTGGCCAAGTTACTCCCTATGGACACTTCCTACATTACTATTCTGCGAGACCCTGCAGAGCTCTTTGAATCATCTTTCCACTATTTTGGCCGGCTGGTGCCTTTTACCTGGAAGATACCAAGTGATTACAAGCTGACCGAGTTTCTGCGTGACCCCCATTTCTACTTTGATCCAGAGGGCTTTAACTCTTTCTACCTCAAGAACCTGCTGTTCTTTGACTTTGGGCAGGACAACACTCTGGAGCTGAATGATCCACGGGTAGAAGAGGGAATCAAATTCATCACTGACCATTTTCAGTTGGTCATGTTGGTGGAATATTTTGAAGAATCACTCATCCTGCTCAAGGATGCACTCTGCTGGGAAATGGATGACTTGCTCTTCTTCAAGCACAATGCTCGAAAGGGATCCACCGTGTCTAAGCTTACCCCTGAGCTAAGGGCAAGGGCCCTTGAGTGGAATGCTATTGATTGGAAACTATATCAGCATTTCAACCAGACTTTTTGGAAGAAAGTAGATGCATATGGACTGCAGCGGCTGGCTGAGGATGTAGCAGAACTCAGGAGAAGAAACGCAGAGATGGCATCCATCTGCATAGAAGGGGGTGGTTCTGTGGAAACTGGCAGCATCCAAGAGAAAGTCATGAAGCCCTGGCAACCCATTGGAGAGAAGTCAATCATGGGCTATAACCTGAAGAAGAATGTGGACAAGGTACATCGGAAACTGTGCCGTAAGATGTTGATGCCTGAGCTTCAGTATTTAACAGAGCTTGGGGTGAACCTGTGGCTCACCAAGCTGTGGGGCCATGTCCGAGATATCATTAACTGGTGACCAAGTGTGTGAGCAAGAGGGGCCAATTCAACTCTGAAAGACTGTATTCAAAGAAGACAAAACTGACTGTGTGGCTGATGGAGCTAGAGGTTAAACATTTTTGTCTCATTTCTTGTCTCATTTTGTTGAAAAGGAACCCGATTTGCATTTCATATAGTGGTGCACTGTACTGAGATCAGAGTGCAGAGTCATTTTTCAGTCTGTCGCTCTCATACACAAGATAGGTCCACTATGAGTTAGCTACAGTCAGCTAAGGTTATTTAACATAGTCAGTAAAGTGAGAGCTAAACAACTGAAGAAACATTTAGCCAAAGAAACCAAGAATGTATGCAGGTAGACATAACACCTCCCTGCCAAAATGACACCCCCGTCCCAACATTCAACACGACGTGATGTACCTTCATGTTTGTGAGTCAATATTGCGAGAGGTGAAGTAAACAGAAAAGTTCAGAACATTCAGAATACCTTTGATTGGAAAATATGCCATTCCGGCCAAAATGTTCAGGTTATTTGAAGATGTCGAAAGAATGATAGTTCACTTTGAGCTAAATAGCGTCCACCTCTTTAGTGTTCATCCCAGAAAGCTGAAACATTTAAGTGCTATGAAAGTGAATCCTCACAAATGGCTAAACTGGAGGTGTGATTAAAGTAAATGCAAATATTACACCCACTTTACTACATATAGAGGACAAATTAGGTTCTAATAAAAAATAAATAAATAAATAAATAAATTGGTGAGCAAATACAAAGCTTTCTAATACTAGACATTTTCACTTGTCATAACAAGAAACGTACAGGTACAACCAATAACATTAACATTCAAGATTCAAGGTTCCTTTTTGTCATTGTCTGGTATAGACAATGAAATTTGAATACAATGCCTAAAACAGGGCTAAAAAAAAACTTCTCATACACTAACACAAGCAGACACACACACATCTGCATAAGTAAAATAAATACATTTTAAATAAAGTGTTATTAAACATAGCAGTGGTGCAAATAAATATTCCAAATATTGCACAAATTTGCACAAAATTTAAGTTATAGTAAATAAATGAATAAGTGTTGTCTCATAGAGATGGAATGTGATTTTAATGCAGCATTCAGCATGGTGATGGCTCTAGGGAAGAAGCTGTTTATCAGTCTTGTGTGCATACTCTGATGGACCTGTATCATTTCCCTGAGGGCAGAAGTTGGGACGAGCCTTTTAAGATGCTGGTTGCCTTCCTCAGGGAGGTGTAGATGTCTTCCAGGGTGGACAGATGTGTGTTAGTGATGTTTTGGGTGTTGTAGAGCCTTTTTGTCAGTTGCAGTACTCTTCCCACACCACACCACACCAGGATCCCATGTGTCAGGATGGTTTGAATGCAGCAGTGTTACCGGTAGGTGTCGTGACAGATTGACTCTCCTGAGAGTCCCCAAGAAGTAGAGTCACTGTTGTGCCTTCTTAACCAATAGGTTTGTATTACTGTAATTGCCCATATGAGATCCTGTGAGCTGTGGGTGCCAAAGAACCTAAAACTAGCAACTGTCTCCACACTTTCTCCATTTATGTACAGTGTCTGGTGATCATCCTGATCATCCTTTGTCCTGAACATTCACTCTGTTCCTTAGTCCTAGAACTGGAGACATGTAAATCAAATGTAGCCATCACCATTGTTATTTATGCTTTCTCTGCAGTGACATGTGAAAATATCTGTTATGGAAAAGGACAGAAATCATATTTAAATAAATGAAAAAGTGATAGCAGCACTATGCAATCAAGAAGAAAAATATTCACTTATATTTTTGTGTTTTTTATAGCATATATGTTGAGTTTTATGCTACAGTATATGATACAAAATCTTTACTATTCCAGCCAATTATACTTTTTCCCCTGATATCACAGTGTCAAGCCTAATAGCATTCACCTTTGCCAGCTCTTTTGGCTGGTTGATAAGTAGGTACTTTGCTGTAAGTATATCACTGTCAGCCAGGTAAAGCTGTCTAGACAAGTAAGGCAAACCCTGTCCAGACAGGTACTATGAAAATAACTAACAGCGCCTACAGTACATGTGAATGTACAATATCATAATCACAGCCTGCAAGTATAACAGGAATTACTTTGAAACAACTGTTGTTTTTCCTGTATTGTAACACTCATTTAATACTTTATTTGTGTCCCTTGACCTATATACTTATTTATGTATTTCTGTGCATTTAATGTTTTGTTTATATTGTTTTGTATATATTATTGTATTCATTTATTGATTAATTCATCTCTAATTTGTTGATTTTGTCCTCCATACAATTCCTGATCACTCAGAGCAATAAATAATCTTATGTTTATTCTCAAAATAAAGTGAAAATTACATGTAATACTGCATGTATTACATATTATATACATCACAGCTTCGTGCCTATCTGTAACAGTTTGTTTCATACTTATTACTGTATGTACAATATGCAGCAAGATTGATTTTGATTTACTGTGTATGAATGTACACGACAGTCCAACTTGTTTGTACAAGTTTAAAAAAAAACTCTGGTGGAAATGCAGAAATTATAGACCAAGATAACCTTTAGATCTTGAGTAAGTAACATAGCGCTGGCAGTGGCCACTGAGAATGAACAATGTTAATAGTATTGTCCTGCTAAATTTAGTTAGGGATGAAGATAATACACCAAAGTGGCAAAGGGGGTCAGCAGATCACTGGTGACCCTTTCAAGTATTTGTTTCTGTTGAGCAGTGTTAGAAAATTCTAATTACATCTACTGTAATTTACTGTTGTAAAAATAAAGCACAAACATTTCAAAGAGGGATGAGTATTCCTGATTATATAATAATATTAACAAACTGTTCCATTTCTTTCTTTCATTATTTTTTTCCATTTAACAATAACCATTAGTCCTTCCACCCCATATCAAAACAACTCTCTACCTACCATTACTGTCAGGGGGTTAAGGTCACCTTTGTTTATGAGCACTTTCTATTCTTCCTTACAGAATTTGAACACAAATACAGGATCAGGCAGCCAACATTCAATACGTGACACTTGATGTAGAATCAAGTGTAAAGTTCTGTGGGACAGACCAAAGTTAATCAAGGCTCAGTAGGTGCTACACACCCACACACTGCACAATAGTCTGACTTGTAGAAGAGGGTGGATGTTTTCGAGCTCCACATCAAGCGTCATAAAAGAAAAATGTGCATATTCCTGAGGGTTACTTTGTTTGATTTAAGTATGCCAGTAAGCCAGCATGTACTGCACCAGGACTTTGGATTTAGAACACATAATTGCATGCAGACATTGATCATGTTATTTGTTAAACCTCTGCTGTTCTAACTGTGACAAGTCAAAATGTCTGTCAATAGGAACAAGAAAAACTATGGCTGCAGAGAAGAGTTGATTATTCGCTGTATTTTAGAATATACTGTTATTTTTATGGTTACTTTTGTTAATGGTTAAGTCATTTACTAATGCTTTACAGAGCAGTTATATTATTGAGCCAATAATAGTAATGACACCTGAGGTGTCAGGTTGTGCAAAATGTCTCCCAGTTTATATTGAGCTGCAGAGCAGTTGACCAAGAGTTATGTATTGTGAAGAACCTACAGGTTTAATAAAGCTCAGGTTTATCTAATGTGCTGGCTTACTGACAGAAATTCATGAGGCCTTTATCAACACTCATTACTGCTGATTTGATGACATACAGTGCCTTGCGAAAGTATTCGGCCCCCTTGAACTTTGCGACCTTTTGCCACATTTCAGGCTTCAAACATAAAGATATAAAACTGTAATTTTTTGTGAAGAATCAACAACAAGTGGGACACAATCATGAAGTGGAACGAAATTTATTGGATATTTCAAACTTTTTTAACAAATAAAAAACTGAATAATTGGGCGTGCAAAATTATTCAGCCCCTTTACTTTCAGTGCAGCAAACTCTCTCCAGAAGTTCAGTGAGGATCTCTGAATGATCCAATGTTGACCTAAATGACTAATGATGATAAATAGAATCCACCTGTGTGTAATCAAGTCTCCGTATAAATGCACCTGCACTGTGATAGTCTCAGAGGTCCGTTTAAAGCGCAGAGAGCATCATGAAGAACAAGGAACACACCAGGCAGGTCCGAGATACTGTTGTGGAGAAGTTTAAAGCCGGATTTGGATACAAAAAGATTTCCCAAGCTTTAAACATCCCAAGGAGCACTGTGCAAGCGATAATATTGAAATGGAAGGAGTATCAGACCACTGCAAATCTACCAAGACCTGGCCGTCCCTCTAAACTTTCAGCTCATACAAGGAGAAGACTGATCAGAGATGCAGCCAAGAGGCCCATGATCACTCTGGATGAACTGCAGAGATCTACAGCTGAGGTGGGAGACTCTGTCCATAGGACAACAATCAGTCGTATACTGCACAAATCTGGCCTTTATGGAAGAGTGGCAAGAAGAAAGCCATTTCTTAAAGATATCCATAAAAAGTGTCGTTTAAAGTTTGCCACAAGCCACCTGGGAGACACACCAAACATGTGGAAGAAGGTGCTCTGGTCAGATGAAACCAAAATCGAACTTTTTGGCAACAATGCAAAATGTTATGTTTGGCGTAAAAGCAACACAGCTCATCACCCTGAACACACCATCCCCATTGTCAAACATGGTGGTGGCAGCATCATGGTTTGGGCCTGCTTTTCTTCAGCAGGGACAGGGAAGATGGTTAAAATTGATGGGAAGATGGATGGAGCCAAATACAGGACTATTCTGGAAGGAAACCTGATGGAGTCTGCAAAAGACCTGAGACTGGGATGGAGATTTGTCTTCCAACAAGACAATGATCCAAGACATAAAGCAAAATCTACAATGGAATGGTTCACAAATAAACATATCTAGGTGTTAGAATGGCCAAGTCAAAGTCCAGATCTGAATCCAATCGAGAATCTGTGGAAAGAACTGACAACTGCTGTTCACAAACGCTCTCCATCCAACCTCACTGAGCTCGAGCTGTTTTGCAAGGAGGCATGGGCAAAAATTTCAGTCTCTCGATGTGCAAAACTGATAGAGACATACCCCAAGTGACTTACAGCTGTAATCGCAGCAAAAGGTGGCGCTACAACGTATTAACTTAAGGGGGTTGAATAATTTTGCACGCCCAATTTTTCAGTTTTTTTATTTGTTAAAAAAGTTTGAAATATCCAATAAATTTCGTTCCACTTCATGATTGTGTCCCACTTGTTGTTGATTCTTCACAAAAAAATTACAGTTTTATATCTTTATGTTTGAAGCCTGAAATGTGGCAAAAGGTCGCAAAGTTCAAGGGGGCCGAATACTTTCGCAAGGCACTGTATTGTAGACTAAATAATAGCTTTATGACATTTGATTTTATAAATATATATAAAATCTGTAACCTTTAAAACTCATATACATACAGTATACACGACCCCTATGGCTTTTTTGCAGTGTTGGAGAGTAGTGAGCTACACATAATTAAACTAGTAGTTTAACTACATTTTTCAATAATTTGCTGGTAGTTCAAATACATTCATATTTGCATGGTGATTCAAGTAGTTAAATTACTTTTCTGCAATTTTTTTGGTGTATTTAACTACTGAAACTACAAACAATTTTGCACCATAAAAGGAAAAGAATGATTTTTTAAATTTTTATTTAACCAGGCTGCAGGTGAGTTTTCAACGGTGACAAGGCCATTTTCAGTGTCAAAAAGAACTGCCTGGCGGATAAGGAGTTTGAGAGGCTCAGGTGTTCAATAAACAAGCGATTCTGCTCTATAAATACAGGCCCATTATTTAGACAAATGTTCAAACCTTCATACTGGCTAAAATGGTGCAAGTTTCAGTTGTTAAGATTGTACAAGGTAGATATTAGAAGTGAGTAAGACAACAGGTCAATTTTTAGACCAGTGCAAAAGTAGGTCAAACAGCTTAAAAGGTGCAAGATTACTGTTTTTTTTTTACTGTTGTAGTCAGATAATACAAAATCCAGATTTATTTACATCAAAAATATAAGATTCCTTGCCGTTTTGTCCAGAAGGGATTATTTTATTTAGGACAGGTTTAGTTCTCAGGTCTCAGCCACTCAACTGAGTGGCATTTTGTGCTAGCATGTGAGTTTGTGTATTATATTTTGTTATAATTTTGTATCACATGTAGGCCGCATTGTCAGTTTGATCTTCAAAGCACTTTGGACTAAATAGCTTTAGTTAACCAAAGTAGATTTCCCCATAGGGTAGTTTTGCTGTAGTTCAACTTCTTCCAGTGTGAGATAATTGGTAGCCCTGTCACGGGGGTGTGGCTGGGCAACTGTGCTCTTCAATGACAGCAGGGATGTTTTGCTAATTGAGTGTTTGTGGCTTATGAACTTGCATGAACATATTAGGTTATTGTACATAGCATCAGAATAGCTGAGCCTGTTAAGGCGATTTAGTGTAACGTTCCTAGCTATCTGTTTCTTCTCTGTAGTTAACTTTTGTTTGTTTTGCAACTTGGCAGTTGCACAGAGCTAGCTAGCTAGTTAGGGCTAGCCATGCGGCTAATGTTAGCCTTTAGCATGGCTAGTAGCTAACGCCTACGCCGACCACAGTCTTCTAACTTAAATAAAGGGCACTTGAGTTTTATCGACACAGGTAATGACAATGTCAGCATAAATTCTCTGTGGCCGAAGCTTTAGCTATCACGCTGGGGAACTGACACTATCGATAGCGTTAGCTGTGGATGTCTCTGCAGATGAGTGGCCCTGAGAAGTGATTCAGCTGGATAAATTGACAACAATGTCCTGTAAATCTACTAAAGTCGCCCCGAGTGTTGATTTCGACCACAGTTGTTCCGACAGTGTGGAATATTTGACGCTCAATTTTGGCCCGTTTGAGACTGTTCATCGTTGGAGAAGACTTCCTCCATGTGATGAGTTTGTTGGTGCAAGGTAACATGTTGATGACAAGAAACAGCTTCATCAGACCTGGATATTTAAATTAAATGTCTCTTTTATTCACCCTGAACTTCATGTGACTCTGTCCAGGCGCAGCAAACACACTGTTGTGGCATACAGGGATGCCATATATGTGTTTGGGGGAGACAATGGGTGAGTGCTGCTAAACAATGGCAGGCATTTTTTTCGTTTTGCTTACTGTCCGGTACATACCCCAAGTTACAAATCTGTGTCATCCAACAGGAAAAACATGCTGAATGACTTGCTCCGCTTTGATGTGAAGGACTGCTCATGGTGTCGGTAAGATTAAATCCTCTCTAATCCGGTAACCATAAGATGTAGACTGCAAAACGTGACTTAATACCAGTTTGTAATGTAATTTACAGAGCATTCACAACTGGAACTCCACCTGCTCCCAGATATCATCATTCAGCTGTGGTCTATGGCAGCAGCATGTTTGTTTTTGGTAACTTTCTAAAGCTTATTGTCCTCATAATGAAATGCCATTTTATTTTTGATGCTGTAGTTATGGCTTTAATGTGTTTCAGGGGGCTACACTGGAGACATCTACTCAAACTCAAACCTGAAAAACAAAAACGACCTTTTTGAATACAAGTTTGCCACAGGGCAGTGGACTGAATGGAAAGTGGAGGGGAGGTAGTGTTTTTCTTTTCTTTAAGGATGTTTATGTTGTGTTTTATGGATAGTTTATTATATCATCTGTTTAAGACAGAATAGAGCTGGTTATTTGAAGTGTTTCTTTTTCAGAAACAAACTCTGAATTTATTTGTTTATCCTCCCTATGTGTTATAGCTTGCCCGTGGCTAGATCTGCACATGGAGCCACAGTCTACAGTGATAAATTGTGGACTTTTGCTGGCTATGATGGGAATGCCAGGTGGGTTTAATTTGTTTTGTTTCTGAGACATCCACACTTTGCTCTTTGCACATGATATTAACAGATGTTTTCCCCTGTGTGTAGGCTGAATGACATGTGGACCATTAGTCTGCAGGATCGAGAACATGCATGTTGGGAAGAGGCTAGTATAATTAATCTCGATATTTAATGATAAGAGTAAAATGCCCAGAAATGCTTTGTGTATGTTAATATCTTTGTCTCTGCCACTGTGTCCCTTAGATTGATCAGAGTGGTGAGATTCCTCCATCTTGCTGCAACTTCCCTGTGGCGGTATGCAGGGATAAGATGTTTGTATTTTCTGGTCAGAGTGGAGCCAAGATCACAAATAACCTCTTCCAGTTTGAGTTCAAGGGTCACATGTGAGTAAAGCTTTTCTTCGCTGGCCTCACTTATCCATTCGGTTGTGCCACTGTTACATGGGGCTAATTATTCCTCTTGTTTCATCAGTTGGACACGCATCCCAACAGAACATTTACTGCGGGGCTCCCCTCCACCCCCCCAGAGACGTTATGGCCACACAATGGTTGCCTTTGATCGACACCTCTATGTATTTGGAGGTGCTGCTGACAACACTCTGCCCAACGAGCTGCACTGCTACGATGTGGACTCTCAGACCTGGGAGGTGATCCAGCCCAGCCTAGATAGTGAGGTATGGACCAAATGGGTTTACAAGGAACATTTATTTATTCAGCCACTTACATTTTTCAATAATCAATGGAAGGGATTGGATGTAGTTGCAGATATGTTTTGTTAATAAGCTGAACTTTAAAATAAGTACTTGTTGTCCTGTACATTTCACTCCCTCTGTATTGGCATCAGAATCAGTGCTGTTCATTATTGAACTAGTTCCATTCTCGATATGCATATTCACATATTCATTAGCAATTAGCTTTGGCACAATTGCTTTACGATCATTACACAGAAACAGACCTTTCTTTGCCCCTGTCTCCTCAGATGCCCAGTGGGAGACTTTTCCATGCCGCAGCTGTGATTCAAGATGCCATGTACATCTTTGGAGGGACTGTGGACAACAATGTGCGCAGTGGGGAGATGTACAGATTCCAGGTTAGTGTCTTGTGTTTTTACTGCTGTAATATAAAAAAAAATTCTCTGCATATTTGGTATCATTTCAGCAAATAATAGGTAATAAGTACCTACTGTTCTTGCAGTTCTCAAGCTATCCAAAGTGTACTCTTCACGAGGACTACGGCAAACTGTGGGAGAACCGTCAGTTCTGTGATGTGGAGTTTATCCTGGGTGAGGTGGGTTTTAATAGCTCCATGTGGTATTGGAACTACACTTCTAAACTGCTGATTAAAATTACAAAGTGACATGCACATTGTCTAACATGGTTTTTCATCTGACTCCTTGTGTTGTTTACAGAGGGAGGAGAGGGTCATGGGGCACATTGCCATTGTGACTGCAAGATGTCGGTGGTTGCGGAAAAAAATTCTGCAGGCTCGGGACAGGCAGCGGCAGGTCAGAGCCATGCAGCAAGTTCACCTCGTTGCCTCTGTGACAAGGGAAGACTATCGGTGTTGATAAAAAGAATTAGACAGTGATGTTTGTAGTTCATTTTACTCAACTACACGTGGAGAGGTGATGTCGAAGCCTCCTGTGGCCCAGACTCATTGAACAGCACTGGCAGCAGTGCAGAGATATTGGCTTCTAAAAGTTTTTAAGTGGGATTGGACTCTCTAACCAATCATAAATTTTCAGTTAATTCTGCTTGATCAGTAAGTTTTGTTGTATTCTCATTACTTGTTATTTTATAATGACATATCTGTAGAGCTGGGCAGAGTGTGGCAGAGCGGCGCAGATCATAGTAGAGCATAGTGGAGCAGGGAGAGGGAGTGCTGAGCAGAGCAGTTGGTTTGATTTGGAGTTTCATGCTAGCACTACTTTAGGTTACTTATTGTAGCTTTAAGGAAAGATCTACCTGTGAATATTTATTGACACAAAGTATGCGGACAACATTTCCTTACAGTTTAGAACAGAGTGATGTTCTTCACAGTCTTAATCTGAATGTTTTTGGCTTTTGCTTAAAATGAATTGAGCCATCAGTTTCTGAGAAACTCAGTTATGATTTTGTTACAAAAAAGCTGTTGCATCATCTTTTAAGAAGTATCTGGTGCATGTTTTTAATGAGATAAAGGATCACCATGCTTGTATCCAGAAGCAGAATCAACGTAGCTGCTTTGGGAGCGCTGTACAACAACTGTAACAGTAAGAGGTCATTGCTATGTAGAGCTGGAAACACAAAGTGATGCTTAAGTTGCTGTCTCTGTGTGCAGAAGACTAAACAGGAGAGCAGCGAGGAGAGCGATGACGGGGCAGTTGGAGGCCTGAGAGATATCCCATCAGGCAACAGGCCGTCGGGTACACAGCCATTGTTAGAGGTTTCAATCAGGGAAGCAGAGGCCCAGCCTTTTGAAGTCTTAATGCAGTTCCTGTATACGGACAAGATCCAGTATCCCCGCAGAGGTAGCTTTCTCATGTTTCACATGTCTGAATGGTATCTGAGTAGCACTAAAGACAGAGAGAAGAAGTATTGATTGTCCTTACCTGTCTCCATAGGTCATGTCCAGGATGTCCTCCTGATCATGGATGTGTATAAACTGGCCCTTAGTTTTAAGCTTTCACGCCTGGAGCAGTTGTGTGTGCAGTACATTGAGGCATCCGTGGACCTGCAGAACGTTCTCAGTGTTTGTGAAAATGCCAACAAGCTACAGCTGGACCAGCTTAAGGTACAGTATGCTTGTATTAACTAAACAAACACACGCTGAAAGTTTGGTTTTCACTGACCTCCACTGGTTGACATTGAGATGTCTTTAGTACAAGACATTTTCTACTTTGAACCAACAGAGGTCAGTAAAATTATGCTCTGTATCTTTGTGTTGGCATGTTAGAAAGATGCTGAGGAAAGAGAAGCCATCATTTATTCTGTCATGCTAACAATTTTTTTTTTCTCCAGGAACATTGCCTTAATTTTGTGGTGAAGGAATCACACTTCAACCAGGTGATCATGACGAAGGAATTTGAACACCTGTCCACCCCTCTCATAGTGGAGATAGTACGGCGAAAGCAGCATCCTCCTCCCAGGGTGTACTCAGACCAGCCTGTGGACATCGGGACCTCCCTGGTGCAGGACATGAAGGCTTACCTGGAGGGAGGCGGCTTGGAGTTCTGTGACATTATTCTGCTGCTAGACGGACACCCACGGCCCGCACATAAAGCCATACTGGCAGCCCGATCCAGGTAGTGTTTCAGATTTTACCATTTCACCCCGAAGTATTTTTTCACATTTGATTTTCAGTTTCCATCTTTGTTTAAATGAGACAATTTTAATAGTAACACTTTATGCTTTTATATCCCAGCTATTTTGAGGCGATGTTCCGCTCCTTCATGCCAGAGGATGGTCAGGTTAATATCTCGATTGGTGAGATGGTTCCAAGTAAGCAGGCCTTTGAATCTATGCTGCGTTACATCTACTATGGCGACGTCAACATGCCTCCAGAAGATTCGCTGTATCCTTCTCTAGTTCTTATATTTATTCACCAGATTAAAAGTCTTTGAAACAATGTTCCACTTCTTCATGCCTGAGGACGGTCAAGTTAATATCTCCATTAATGATATGATTCCAAATACTAGGCCATGTAGTTACCCGATATCGCCATTCCTCGAACCAGAAAAGACTCATTACAACAACAGAGAAGAGCTGTGGTGGAGTCATGGTGTGATGAGAATGTCTTAACCATGATGATTGTGTGTGATGAGGAAAACACGCTTAAAACATACTTGTTTTATACCTTGATATATTTTCTCCCATTTCAAACACGGCTGTAAAAAAGTATTGATTTTGTATTCATTCAAGAAGTTTTTCTAATACTTTGTGCTGCCATTACCACCAATGCTAGCCTGTCAAACCAGATCTTTGGGTTTAGGCATAAGATTAAACACCTGCTACAATATTTTTATAGATAAGCCTTGAGGCAAATATGTTTAGGTATAAAGTTGGTAATGTTTATACTTAAGTTCTTAAAATTAGAAGTGGTTGAGGTTAGGTAATGCTTTGGCATGGCTAAGATGAGGCTCATTAGAGAGTGACTGCTGAACAGCATCTAGTGGCCATTACTGGAACTGTGACCTATTGCACTGCGTTGGCTTCAACTTAAAGCCTTTGTGTTTGCTGCTTGTACAAGATGGAAAGCAGGGAACAAAATGGGTGACTTTTAATTGTTTTATTATAAGTATCATTATCACCTGCAAAGAGTTGTATATAAAAGCTCGGTCCAAAGGTTAAAGTGTATACATAGGTGGTTAAAATAACAGAATCTTGCTTTGTACACTAAATGAGGTTTATTGGATTACTGCACAGAGAGAGACCTTTTTGCTAATTTCCCTGACCCTGGATGAACAGCTATCTGTTTGCTGCACCGTACTACTACGGATTTTCCAATAACAGGCTGCAGGCTTACTGTAAGCAGAATCTGGAGATGAATGTCACAGTGGAGAATGTCTTGCAGGTATTTATATTTTCACACGGGGGTGGGGGGATGTGACCTAATTTCACAATGCGTTCCCTTACTTGAAGAATTTTTTGTGCGGAGTGAATAATTTTTTCACTCACGTGTCCCCTAATATTTTTCCCATCTCAGATCCTGGAGGCAGCAGATAAGACCCAGGCACTGGACATGAAGAAGCACTGCCTGCACATTATTGTCCACCAGTTCATCAAGGTGGGTGGGCTTGTATTGGGAGCCCTTGGGGTTTGCTGCCCACTCAATGCAGCTGAGCTAACCCTGTAGCCCTGTCTTCTTAGCAGGAGGCTGACATCTTCGGCCTTCTAGCGGATCACTCTCCATCCTTTACATAGAGAGGAGGCTGTTTACAGTCTGGCCGGCTGTACAAGCACCCTATCACATAGCGATGAGGGTCATTGTGTCACTCTGATTATTACTTGTTGTTCTGAGACAGCACTCAATTCTCATCCTACTTCACTGGAGTGTTAGCTCTGTTGTTAATGTTTCTGTTAAGCTTATTTCTGTTTATCTTCATTTGTCATGCATGAGCATTCAAATGCTGCTTGTTCCTCTGTTTAACTCATTGTTGTTTCATCTTAATTTATTGCTCCTTCTTTCCTTTTTTTTTTCTTTTTACATTTGTTTGCTCTCCTCCCCTCCCAAAGGTATCCAAGCTCCCTAACCTGCGGTCTCTCAGCCAGCTGCTGCTGTTGGACATCATTGAATCTCTAGCCACACACATATCAGACAAACAGTGTGCTGAGATGGATTCCGACATTTAGGATGACACCGAGAGCCAGGCTCTTTTCTCCTCTCACAGAAGCCATACATCTGTGCTCCACCTACTTCTAGACATTCCCTCCTCCCGGACATGCAGCACTTTTCTTTTTGTTGGACGTTGCATGTCTTGACCCCCATGCAGCTGATACTTTTTATTTATGTAGAGCCAGATTGTAATTTTGTTTCTCACTCTGCAGCTCAGCGAGGAATGAAATCAGTGAAGAAACCAGATTCTAGCTCAGTTGCAACTGTTGAATAATTTGAAAAATCACTATGATTAATTTCATGTTTTCTGTACACAGAACTAAACTTTTGCAAAGTTTTATTCTGCTCAGTGTTGCTTCATTTGTAATAGAGATGCAGTAGACTATAATCATTCATACTTGTGGCACTAGAAATGTTCAAATGTCTCCTCAGATCTTTTCTCTGTCCTCTCAGCAGAAGCGAATTAAAGTATAGTCCTAAATAGATTAATTATCTGAATAAGTATTTATCACTTGAATTATTCCCTTCTCCGACACAGTTAATAAACCTGGATTAAATGTCGTAAGAAATCAAATTCATATGAAAGTAATGAGAATGTCTGTCAGCCTTAAAACTGTTTTTGGTTGATGTTCTTGTCATTGGCACATGTTTTAATACTAATCAGCTCTCACCATTACCAGCAAGGTCTCTTTAGCTGTATAGTCTGATGCTATTAAACATTTACTCACATGGGTTTCACATATTTAAAGCCTTAACAAATATTCCCATACAGAATGAATCATGTTTTACTTAATCTCTGTGTCTCTTTGCTGTTTTTGTGTCCTTGTGTTCACTTTGCATCTCTGTGTGGTCATTTTGAGTCTTTCTAGAGTCACATGACTTCTTAAGAAATGTTAGTCATTTCAAACAGAGGCCGAGTCCCCCAGACCCCTTGGGTCCCTGGGCCTGTTCCCAGCAGGCCCATTCAGTAATCCATCATGTCTCAAGCCCTGCCCTAACATACAGTACTTTTAAACTGCCTTTAAATCCTGCACTCAGCCAAGCAGATCCTCAGTGCTGTATCTACTTAATCTAAACTAGTGAGGTGGGCAAGCCCACTGGTTTGATAATGCTAGGGCCCATTGTCTTGTCTAAATGTCATTTCCCGATTTGTGATATTTATGATCGCTTGGGTTAAAACTGGATCTCTCAAAGGTGTAAGCAACCTAACACAATATGTTTAAATAACAGCTGATACAGGTTCTTCCAAAGGTTTCTGTAATTATGGTGAAGTGTTCAGTTTTTTCCTTTACATTAAATACCAGTACAAATATGAAATTCTTAAACAGACTCTTAGCATTAACTAAGGCTGTTCTAACCTATATACTATGTGAAATAGCTGAATGTTCATCCTTGACCTTTCACCAAATTCCCCATCCAGGTTTCAGTTTCCACAGATCTGTGGATGATAAGGTCAGACAATGCTCCTTAGTTTGAGAAGATGAATTCCTTCAGCTTATGTAAGGTTTTGCACTTGCAAAGATTTTAATGGTTTGCTCAGGTGAACTCAGTTAAAATGTAAATAGGTTAATTCTATTGTAATAGAAGGCAATTTATTTTAAATGACTTTTACAGTAGTCAAGGCAGTCAACCCAACTTTAAACATTAAATTATAACTTGAATAAAATGGAAAGATTATTAGAAAATGTTGCATTTTGGAAATGACTCAAAATTTAATTTGAAGTTAAATTGCACATTTTGTTCATGGGATTGAGAAAAACTGGTTGGCTTTAATGCTGAGGCTCTGAATTGACTTTCCTTTTAGCTGCCAGTTGTCCTGCAAAATCTTTAAAGTCACTGGAATTCACAAACTGTTGGACTCTGCTGAATGTACAGTTGCAGTGTGGACAAAGTGCTTTTCATAGTCCAGATACTTGAGACGCTGGGCAAATCAAGAGCCTCTCCTTTGACTTTCTTAGAGTGTAACTGTCCTAAATAAAATAATGTCTGAGTTTCATCAGTAATATCAGTGAGACATTTTATTTGAAATTATTAAAACATTAAAATGTGGAGTGAATTTCACTGCTACATAGAAACAGGCTATTACTGTATAGTCAACCAGGGGTAGCTTTATTTTAATTCTTCTTTTTTGTGTGTCCCCCATGCCCAGCTTACCTAATGTTTCATTCAAGTACACTTATGTGCACGCACAGCCCAGAGCCCCACCGGACATATCTGGTTTCATCTAGAAACATTCGGTTCATTGTTCGCTGTGATAATGAGCACTGAAGCAAAACAATATGTCTGTTGTTTTGCAGCAACCCTGAATTACCTCCCATTTATCAGGTGCTTTTCATTAAGAAGGCTGGAGAAGTGGGCTGCCCAGGTCTGTCCTGCTACCTAGCAGGTGGGATGGGCTGCACAGCCTCTCTGGATACAAGCTGTTAGATAGATCTGAACAGCAGACTCACAATACGCCGTGTATATGCACAGTGGCCAAAGATGGTTTTTCTAACCACTAAAGTGATGCAAAGGACTGCATTCTTTGTGACAGTCGGGGGTTTGGTCACTTCTCTGATCACCACCTTCCTTCCCCTGTGGAAGACAATGAACTCTGACTTGAACGAGATGGAGAACTGGTACTCTGGCCTGTGGCACACCTGCATTTACACCGAGGAGGTGGGAATTCAGTGCAAAGCCTACGATTCTGTCCTGGGACTCCCAATGGACCTGCAGATCTCCAGAGTTCTCATGTCAGTGTCTATAGGCACTGGAGGTTTAGCTGTGTTGCTTGCCTTCCCAGGTCTGGAGGGGGTTGAGATGTGTGTGGGGCAGCCAGGTCCAAAGAGAACGCTCCTCGTGCTCAGCGGGGTGCTGTCCTGGGTGTCGGGGGTCACCACTCTGGTTCCTGTCTCTATTGTGGCGTACACAACTGTAGTGGAATTCTGGGACGAGGGTTTTCCTGATGTGATGCCTCGCTGGGAGTATGGGGAGGCAATGTTCTCTGGATGGTTTGGAGGTTTGGCTCTGGCCATTGGAGGGACCCTTTTCTTTGTAGCTGTGTGCATGGGGGACTATGACCAGAGACCACCGAGTGTGCCAAACAGCCCGCAGGTGAAGCACAGGACACAACACTACCTGAAGACAGAGGTGTTATAGGTTTCTTATTGTCATGTATGTGTCAACTGCACATTCATGTATTTCATATGGAGGCATGCCAGCTTGTTAAACTGAGTGATAATGAAGTTACGTGTGACCTAATCAATACCTGTGATTACATATTTCTGTCAGAATCATAAAATGCTGTTTGTGTTCCTTCGTGTATTGTAACTGTCAGCCCGATGTCACTATTAAGTAGAATCATCTGATGCAACTGTGGTGAGGTACATGTTTAAAGTAAAGTAAGATTGTATGCAACTGCAGTCTTTTTTTTTTTTAAGTCTGCAGGGTCTGGATAAATTAGGGACCCATTTATTTACCTGTAGCCGCACAACTGTGTGCACATAGAACTTTACTTAAACTCAAAGTAGAAACAGAGTAATAGAATAATGAGTCTGAGGCACTGAGGTTCCAAATGTAAGCATTAATATTAAATGTAAATGAGATCTAAGATGCGTTCCATTTCAACCAACTTCATAGGTTGACTGAGAAGGTATGGTCTGTGGTCCCAACAAAAAGATGGTCCCACGACCAGTGCTCAAAACCCAGCATTGCTTTGATTCCCAAGATAATGTTCAACAACTAAATCAAAGTTGTTAGTGTTTCCTGAAGCTTTGTCTGTGATATGAATGATTTTTATAGATACTGTAAGTGTGCTAGATGAAGCATAGTCATGAGTACCACATTTTGTTTAAAGTACAACAAAAACAACAGTAACATAAATGTAAAGGCCTTAGAATAAAAATGTATAGTGTAGCTACTCTGCAGCCCTATCCATGGGTTAGTTTTGTTTTATTAGGACAACTAACTCATCTGAACAAGCATGAAAATGTGTTACATTAGTGCAGCTGTGTGAACCCACTGCCAGGGCAGGAGCTCCTCTGCTGCAGCTCCTCTGTTCATTTCAGGGAGGGACTTGGCACCATCAGCGGCGAAGAAGTTGTGTTTAACATGCTCATTTGCTTAACTGACAGTCTGTTTATCAACAGTCAGTTTAAATCTACCCAAGTAGCTGCTGACGTTCACATTTTGGCAGGCTGTGATTTTATATTGTAGCCTACGAATCACTTATTTACTCCTCTCATCCCCAAGTCTTGGTTGTTGCTGACACTTTTCTCTGGCCCCTGCAGAGGACGGTCCCCACGTAATTCAATTAAGCTCAGTGCCTTGTTGTACATGTGCACACCGCCCACTCTGGCTTCTACTCAAAGATGCTTTTACATGTGCTTGGACACACGCAGAGAGAAACACAAACATTCAGACACTGGAGCAGATGTGCACGTTTCAGCTGTCAGCACACTGTAGAAATACAATTACTCCATGTAGCTAGTGGACATCTCTTCCCCCCCCCCCCCCCCCCCTCTTTTTTTTAATATAAAATTTTTTTTTTTTTTACACAGAAATCTGAAAACAAGTCTTTTGCTGCTGGTTCCTGGGGGTTTGGGGGGGGTACAGTTCCTCCCACAGTGGGAGCATAAGGAATGGAATTATCTTGAGAGCTCATGTCTATAAGAGCCAGTATACCTTTTTAATCCTGCTCCACTCTACCTCCTGGCTGAAAGTGGGATTTACTGCACCGACTGCACTTTCACTCTTTCTCCCTCTGCTGCACAACACTGAGAGACATGCAGCACACACATAGCCTAAGAGCTTTTTATGTCTTCTGGTCAGTATAAATATAATGCACACTGGTAAGTTTCAACAATAGCTGATACTCCTACTGCAGCATAGTCTTACAGCACAATGCATGCACTGTAAGCAGCTGCTGTGATAAGTGGGCAGTCAGACCAAGCAGCGATTCTTTGATCAGGCTTTAGGCTGTGGGTAAGTCAGGGCTTTGAGACCTGAAAGCTGAAAGGAGCTGATCATAAAAGCAAGCAGAGGGAGTGTATTTGTGTGTGTGTGTGTGTGTGTGTGTGTGTGTGTGTGTGTGTGGTGAGGGGGGGAGGAGGAGAAAGGAGGGGTTGAAGGACAAGAGCCAGGAACGGTGAGAATTCATGCTGTGTTAGCATCCCCTCAGCAACTCCATCAATACCGCATACAGCTGAGAAACTGGCAAAGGTCCTCCGTGCTGCAATTGCAGGCTCGGCCAGCAGAAGATAGTCACTCCCCGGACTGGGTCAGCTCAGTCTGCTGCTGGAGGGGGAGGGGCGAGCTCTGCGAGGGGCAGAGCACTCACATACTCACTCAGTCACACACAACAGAGCCTCTGCTGCATCAAGAGGCTGAGGAGGAGAGCGGAGGAGGGTACAGAGGGACGCACAGACTGGGAATACTCCAGTGGAGAGAGCCAATCCCGGAGAGGGACAGGATTATTAGGGGACTTGCGCTAATATGCCACCATGCTCCATGGGGGAAGCTGAGCCACTGGGAGTTTGACAGGATCTCGATGCACCTGCTCCATGCACTCTGGTAAGCTAAATGATTCCCTGTTTCTGTCAGAAAAATTGAGTTCTGTTTACTTTTTAATATGATGTGTGTATGTGATGCTGTGTGTGTGTGTAATCAGACAATTTCTTCAAGTGGCTTTTGCCTGCATTGCTGTACAGTGGTCACATACAATACTTGAATGGCAATAGTTTGACACAGCAGCACTCTTCCCTGAAGGACCACGTAGGCGACTGTAGTGCAGCATACACCCAGTGCCATGGTGTGTAACTAATTCTTGTTTCAGTTTTGATCAGTTCTGCTGCCAGATCAAACATGCCTCTGAAAAAGTTTTCAATAGTCAGTACCCATCTGTAACTTTACTGAAAAAGTCTCACAGCACTTCTCAAATGTTCTTTTCTATTAGTTTGGACAGCAACTATTTGTGTGTTAGTTTATGTGTGTGTGTGCATACGGAGAAACTGGTCAATATCAGAATTGCTGTATGAAGCACAGCTACTCTGTAGGGGTATACACCCCTCTGTAAACCATAATTCTAGTTTTCCATGACATCATGGAGAGGTTATCACTCAAAGCAGCAGCAAAATGACCCGATACAAGTCAGCAGTGTCAGTATTAACCAGCTTTAGCATTACACACAAATACAACATACAGATGTTTTATTTTTTATAAAGCAACTCAAAATATAGGCTCTTGATGAACTGCACAGTGTAAAAAAAAAGTTAAAATGTAAAAATAATTAAAAGTAAAATGTGTGTTTTTTGGAGCCACGGGGCATTTACAGTATGCTTTATTCTAAATACTAAAGGTTTGCTTTTAAAGCTAAACTATGACCTCTGCAATCTGCTCAATGTAAAATTAGAGATTACATCCCATCCTTTCCCATTTTTTAATTAAGCAGTGTTTGCTAACTGATAATCCAGTTTGTAGCCACATGGAGCTGTGGTTACTGTGCTTGTATATAACAAGGCAGTCACTACTATTATTCACTACAAGTAAACCAATGTAAAACATCGCACAAACTTGGTCACAGGGTCTGATTGTATCACACACACTAGAACTTCTTGATGGAGATTGTGATAACTGTCTTTTTTTCTGTCATGGTGTAAGACACATAAGCAGTGGAGAAAATAGAAGTCATTCCAAACCATCTTAGCATTTTGGAGAACATCCTATGACCAGTTTGGCCTATGTCTTCAAACATGACCCCCATTCCTCCCATCTCCTTTAACTGTGAACAATCAAAATAGGAAACACAGAAATGCTGAAAAGATCAGCAATTTCAGCCTCTTGTTCATTACATTGAATGCTTAAGGGGAAAGAGGGATGGTCAAATGTTAAGAGTTATGAGAATGAACAGAATTTGAATGAGCCACTAAATCAACAGAATCCTTTTAATTCAGGTGCAGCTATGTGACCAGGACCTACTATTGTCAAGTGACACAGAAAGTGATTACATGCCCACTGCTTTTACTTCACAGAAACGCTGCAGCATTTCTTCTCCTGCTGCTGATATTTATTGTTGAGGATCAGGATTGTTTTGCACTGCCAGGAATGTGGGATGTTTGCTCTACAGTATGTCTGCATTTCAGATCAGAGGTCTGCTGTGAGAGGAGGGGGTGTTTATGAGTTGCTGGATCTTTTTGACTTGTAGAAGATGCTTGTTTGAAGGTTGAGTCCAGTTTTGAGTGGCAGGTGTTTCCTCACAGCCACTTTATAGACGGGCCTCCTGCTTTTTAATTCTCCCCTTTAACATTCCAGGAACAGGTATTATAGTTGGAGGAAAATGAGTGAAAGTGACAGCTTGTTTGCAGGCAGGATTATTAGCACTGCTTGGGGACAGGCCCAAGAGCGAGAGAGCGGGATCTGCGTCATATGTTGGGGGGACCAAATCTGCTTAACCTACTTTAGTTTTGCAAAAAATATCTTGGGCTTGTTGGTACTCCAGGATGGTAGCTCTCTGTAATCCAACCTGTTGTTCATGAAATTTTTAATAGTGACAAATTATTAAAGGGGAAACATATGAAAAAGAGGGAAACCCTTCATGATCCTTCAAGCTTTTTCTCAGCAGATGGTGGTTTGATGTATTATTCTTTATATTCATGGAGACACACACTAGTAAAAGCTCTGCTGTGTTAACTGGCTGTTAATTGAATGCATGAAGTGATTGAAGTGCTTGGCACAGAAATCTGGATGAGCGGTGCAGGAATACAGTCCAAACCGAAGCTTTACCACTTGTGGGAGATGCTCATTTTGCTAAAACTGACTTAATTTACTTTTGCGGTATACTATTTTGCAGTGGTGGAAGAGCCACTCAGGTTCATTATTTAAGTAAAAGTAGCAATACCACAGTAAAAGTCCTAAATTCAAAATGTTACTTTAAAAATTACAAAAGTATTAGCATCTAAACTACTTAAAGCCTTAAAAGTGCTCATTCTGCAGAACATGATTAATAAGAGACAAATATTCTGCATTCATTTTTGTGGTCAATTCTTATTTTGATTTTTTTGTGAAATACTGGATAATGTTATCTCTTTGGACAGTAATCAGTTTACATTTAAATGAAACAGTCTGAGAGATTTATGTTGACGTTTTGTCACTGTCTTTTTACGTAACATGGACTCCCCATTTCTTTTTGTAAGAAGACACAGGCCAAAAATGTTTGGGAATCACCGATGTCATTTTTGACAATCTGTTGAAATATTATAAGCTCATTTTGTGTTATTTTTGTTTGCCTAAAACCTTAATCTGCAAAGTCACTAGTAACTACAACTTTAAAAAGTATTTTCCTCTGAAATGTTATGGAACAGAAGTAAGAAGAAGCATAAAATGAACGTTTACATGCACCTCAAAAATCTTACTTTAAGAGTGCTTGTGTAAAGTATATAGTTACTTTCACAGACTGCAAACAAATACATGGTTTGCTTACAACAACCCAGTCTCAGCTGCAGAGTTGTGGCCAGTCAGAGGGGATCTTTCCATTTCTCGTTTGTTCTCAGGAACGTTTCTAAGCTCCATTCAACACTCCAGTTTTTTTTTCTGAAGTTCAAGGACATTAAGATGTGCTCAGAATATCAAGCAGTGCTTTTGGTTGAACCTCAAAAAGGATAATTTGGTGATGGATCGCACCATGTGGAGTGATACGCCTACAGTCCTGTGTCTGCTCAGATTCATAGCAGCCACTGCTCTTTGAGTAACTACAGTAGCTACTGTATGTGTGGGTGAAATATCACAGCTGGCACAACTGTGAGGGCAATGTGGCAACACAACAAAGGGGGATGTTGAAATGTAAGGGGCCCCTGCATCCATTTAAAAGTGTAGTGTGATGAGAAAGTTAATAGGTGTGGGAGCACTGTTAATATTTAACGATTCTCCATGAATATGCATGAGCAGCGGTAACAATGCGGGTGGAAATGTTCCTAATTAACACTATTGCTTCCTGTTTACAAGCACTAACATGTTACATAGACACATAGAGAAAATGGTTTGAGCAGCTCTCCTCGGTGTCCTTCAGACACTCCTGAGTAACATCAGCCACTTTTTCTGATAAATACGAGCACAGTCAGTGGCCATGAATGATAATAAGGACTAGGACACATTGATGTCAAACGTTTTGTCAGTTTAACAGCAAAGCCAAAATTGTAAATTAAAAGCTAACAGCTGAAACCCAAAGCAAACAATTCTTTAAAATGAAAGATAACAGAGAAATATTTTGTCTTGTACTATGGCCACACTATTCATCCTGTGATTGGACTTTACACCCATGTAATCAGCAATGTGTGTGTGTGTGTGTGTGTGTGTGTGTGTGTGTGTGTGTGTGTGTGTGTTGATGACGCTGCGTCCTCTGTCTGCGCAGATTATGTGGAGGAGCTGACTTGGGCGATGGCCAGCTCGGACCTGCAGGTTCTCATACGCACAGATCCGTGTTCCCGTTACCTCTCGACCAAGCAGCCCAGCCCAGGGATCTGACCGCGCCTTCCCTCCCTTTCCCCCCTCCCTCTCCCTGGGTGTCCCTCAATCCCGGGCCCGCCATGGGAGGATGCTTCTCCAAACCCAAACCAGGTAACCGAGACATTTGTTTGTGCTCTCTCGGCCTGGTTAGTTTAGACTGAAGGAAAACATGCACCGCACAAGCACAATAACAGCTTGTGCACGTTTTTGGAAGACTCTCACTCTGTTGCACTGCAATCCAACAAATTATAATGTTAAATGATTATTAAAATCACACAGGGTATTTCATTAACTCATTTTTTTGATTTTGCTGAACATTACTGATTTGCATATCAGACTTTTGTAGAAACGTATAACATCATATTATCACAGGATGATTTGATTTTAAGTCAGATGATGATAATGAATGATTTATATAATGGCCATTCCTAATTTGTAACATAGTGTAGCGGATCTGTCTCAGTTTGACAAATCAAATCAAGCAGCTGGGGCGCAAATGATCAACTGTCTAAAATAGTACAAAAAGCCCAACTATAAATGTGATTTCACGTGGGTCATCTCGCGAGGAAAAGGGGAGAGTAAAAAAAGGAGGGAAACATCTTGCGCGCAAAGTAATTCGGAGAATCAGCAGACGGACACTGAAGTGCAAGAGCTTCTGCGTTTTAAGACAGCACCCCAGGGAGCTGGTCGCACCAAGGGCTTAGAAATTAATTAAAATTTAGGAATACAGCGGAGAGTGTACTTATTAGACAGATTAGCTCATTCTCACCATAATCTTGACATGAGGGTAACTCATATCCAATATAAGAAGGAAAGTTAGTTACTCAATAGTGACATGCACCAACATCAGTAAACATGTAATTCATGCACAAACAGTTCTCTAATCATCTGATAAATGCACAAACCTGCTTATCTAAGGTAAGGTGGTTAGAAACAGACATTCAGTGTGCAGATGTTATTATTATTGCATAAGGAATGCAAAAGAAGAAAGATATGGCTACATCCAAAACGATCTACTGGTTCGCTGAGGTAGCAGGAAGGTTCTTCTGTACACCACTGTGGGACAATAAAACAATACTGATGACTTCATTATTCAAACAGCATACATTCATGTAGGACACATCATCACTTGTTAAAGAGAATATTGCACTTAGAAGTCTTCAAAGGTCAACTAGACTACTTGGGTCAAACACAAGGTGCGTGTCAGATGGTGGCGGTGTTGATTCACACAACACTTTCCTGAGGGCTCAAAGATTTACCTGTCTGGGCTTCTGAACAAGGTAGAAAGACCTGGTGTCAGTTTTTATCATACCACCTTCTCTTGAACAGACTCAGTAACACGAATTAACACCAGTATCATTTATTATGAAAATAGGTTCATTTGTAAGGTTTGTGTGTGTAAGAATAGGTTCAGTCCTTCCAGGGCTTGTGGTCAACTAAGGGGGTCGTAAACCAGAGGGGAATCTTGTGGCTGGAATGCAGAGAAGCCCTTGTATTAAATGGGGTTGCCTGGCCCCAAAATTGGGTTTTTGTGTTGTTTTACCACCAACTGAATTTAAATTAGTAATGGCTCTCTTTTCAGTCTCTTATCTACACACATGTTGGTCAGAGGCATGGTGTCTCTCTGAGTTGTAGATTTTAACTGAGGACCCCTTCTTTATGGTGGTAAAACCGTCCCAGTTTAATTTGGATGTTAAAAAGCTGTGTCCAGGTAGGTGCCAGAGCATCTCCGCATCCCATCCAATGGAACCAGATTTCTTGTCAGGACAGAGGTTTGTCTAGAGGAACAGAGCCCTCTGTCCCTGATCTGTGAAGGCACTTGCATATGGTTTGTCGATCTGCTGACAGGTTCATTACAATTGTGTGCAGCTTGAAATTTATCTGGGACTTTTTTCTCCAAGCATCAAACCTGGAAGCTGCTGTGTGTGTTTTGTAGAGGAATGTTTAAATCTGGTTAATATTTCATGTTGAATATGGAGCATGCTGATGATTCAGTGTGGTTTGAAAAGGTAGCTCCACTTAAAAATGTTTCTACTATTGGTGTATTTTAAAAATGGATTGGCAGTTTATGTAGAAATAGTAAAGATGGGATACAGAAAAACACTGGTGTAATAGAGTGATAATAAAAAAATCCAATGATTTCTGAATAATTTTCAGAGCTACAGGATCTGCTGCCTCCAAATTCAGTTAGACATCCTCTCAGTCTTTTCTTTTTGCATGATAGTGTTTTGTGTGGGAGGAATTTTAATGCTCTCTGTGGCATCTTTGGTTAAAAGGATTACATAGGCATGAATATCAAAGTCTGACATTGTATATGTATCCCTTTCAGTGTTAGCATGGAGAAGAGATCACCTCTCATGCATCATTTCAGTGCTGCATGTGATAATAATGTTCAGCTGTACAGAGACAAACTCATATGGTCATTGCATCACGTGGAGGTGAAATGAAAAAAATGCAGGACTAGTTGTACTATAAATGTGCTTTACTACAATTTCTGGATGAGCTGCTATTAAGAAAACATATACAGTTTTGACTGATTCTGTAATAAAGCTAAACTTTAATATAAAGCCCAATTATAATAAATTACACACCTCATGATTTATGGGGGTTTTGCTTATCAGATAATCACTTATCAAACAGTTGAATGCAAAAATTCTGTTATTTAGTCAGTAGCCTATAAACTAACGCAGTCTAATACAACAGTCATGTAATAAATCTTTTTTCATGAAGGTGATAATGTTCACTTTTGTTGAAACTGTTTTAGAGAAATGTCCAGTTAAATTGTATGATCATTTTGGATGATTGTTGAACTATACTGCATTAAACAGAGATATAAATGGATTGGATTAAATATGAGAGTCACCTGTTAATACATTTCGACCATAGCACAAAGTACATCTTCCAAAACGATCATACAACTGAATCACAAGGTCTCTAAAACTGTTTCCACAAAAACAGCACAGCGCACATCACCTTCATGAAGAAGGATTTTTTACATGAGTGTTGAATGTATCTGCATTAGTATTAGCTGGCCATTTATTATGGTGAGAGTTAAATCTTACAGAGAAAATGAATTCAAGAAATTCCATCAGGGAAATGGACAGGGAAGGAACATCCCCCCTTTTCCCTTTCCAAAGTCCCAGGTCCAGGGCTGAAGAAACAAGTTAGAATAATGTCATAGTTATTTCTAACTTTCCAAAAGTGTAAAGTATAAATAAAGATAGCTTCTGCTCAAAATACAGCATATAGTTACACATTTAAGCGCAGGTGGGGGATAAACTGGCACCGTGAGAGGATCTACAAGGGAGGGAGAGTGCACATTGCCCTCTTCATATGCATAAGAAGTGTAGATGGGTTATAAATGCTGTGAATTTACAAGCCTACATAAAGATATATAAGAATCATGTAAAGAAAAATATCTATGTTAAAGCTCCAAACACTAAACTGTGACACAGTCAAAATAAAAGCTTTACAGAAACTATTTTGGCACATTCTAAACCAGAGAACTTTTCAGCCCTGATCAAATGAAGCATCGGTGTGGTGAGACGTTACAGCAGCATCTAAAGATTCTCTTCAGCTGTGGAAACCTTTCTCTTTCTTTTCTCCTGCAATTGCACTCACTGTTATGATTTTCCATCGATTTTAATTAAGACTTGCTCAGCAGGAGAAAATTCCAGCCAGATTACTGCGTAAGAACCGGATGATCAGCACATTTTTCCAGACGAACAGATAAAGCCTGCTGCAGTGAAAAAGGAGTTGCACAACCATTTCCAAATGTTCAGAAATATCAACCCAACAGCAGCATAGCCTATGTCATCAAACTAAATATCTCCCAAAACACAGATTAATATACTCCGCTCTGTTATAGTCTGTTTTTTTAACTGTCACTTTGGGAATGCAGCAATACAGAAATATGTTCATGTCAAGTTTCTTTTAGGGCAATTTTATTATTCAAGGGAGTTGTAACAGCATTTACAGTCACTGTTATCTATATTTTCCAGCTCAGTACAGTAAGTTAACTCGGAGGTGACTGAATAATGTGTGAGCACAGTTTGACTGATTTCCACCTGTTTAGAAGACAGGTGTGGTGTGCGTTTATTTAGAAAATCTGGATTTATACTAAAAGTTGAACAATTGAATGATAGCTGTAATTATGCTACTTGCTAGCAGGTAAAAAAGAAAAGAAGACAAGGTTGCCCTCACCCACGTTTTCCCTTCACCTGCTTTTTGTTTTCATCTGGTTCAGTTGTGGAGTTGTCAGACTCAGTTTGACTCAGTTTGTCCCAACATTTCTCCTCAGTTACACATTTTCAGATGTTTTCTAAGTGAGACATGTTTGTGTCATGCAGTTGAAGTTAAAGTGGAACTCTCTCTCCTGGAGAAAGAAAAAGAGGTGGATGGCCTGTCACCTAATGGAAAAGCGAGTCCCTTAGCTGACTGCAGGCTCAATGGGGCCCTGGGACATGGGTCTGATGATGACGCCACCCCACTCCCCCTCTACCACAAATCCCGGGACTATGTGGAGGCCTCTGTCTGTCATGTTAAAGATATGGAAAATGGACAGTAAGAACTTTTTCATCACAGCTTCTTTCTCAGTTCACACAGAACACACTTTGTCCTGCACAAGTACGTGTTATGATGCACGTCTCCCAGCCAGTAATCATTTTCAAGATGATCAAGTACAAAACCTATCAGAGTGAAATGAAGCTCAAGAATCCAGAAAAACATTAAAGTCACTGAACTCAGTAATGTCAGACAGCAAAATCTATGTAAAGTTTGCTAACATTAGCCACCATGAGCTACTTCTAGACCAAGTAAGGCCGTGGATGCAAAACCCCTGAGTGTACTGAAGTCAACTTTTAATTTGTGTTATTTTTCTGACTAAGTTTCATTGTCTTGTTTTAATGAACTACAAATTACATTCATAATTGTTATTTATAGTGTTTTGGGGTGAACTGGCCCTTTAATTTATTTGACTTGTTGCTATTAGAAAGTAGCTTAAACTGAAGCCTCTTTGTTTTCATCATCACATTTTTCTCCTAGGGTTTATTTTTATTTGTTAAAATGCCATTTATGTGTTTCCTTGAATGATTTAATCAGAAAACAGCCAGGAACAAATACACACACACACACACACACACATCTTTGTCTTGGTGTGTTTGACAGGATGCGAGAGGTTGACTTGGGAAGTGGCAGAGCTTTGTTGATCAAAGAACATGGGGAGTTCTCAGCCATGGCTCACAAGTGTCCACACTACGGAGCCCCCCTGGTCAAAGGTGAGTGTAATCTTTTCAGATGTGATTTAAAAATTGTCACTAATATCTAATATCATACATTTGACATACTTATCATTTTCTGTCATTCCAGGTGTACTGTCAAAAGGACACGTGCGATGCCCCTGGCATGGCGCGTGCTTCAATATTGCAACAGGAGACCTAGAAGACTTCCCTGGTCTGGACAGCCTGCCTACCTTTCAGGTGACCTTCCCTGCTGGTCATGTCTCTTAATACATTCCCTGCCTTGCTATGTCTTTTTACATGACCAGAAACTGTACATATTGTTCATGTCTTTTTGCTCCAGGTCAGAGTTGAAAAGGACAAAGTGATTATTCGTGCAAACAAGCAGGTAACAACAAATAGAATGTGGAGTATTTACGTTATAAAATAAAGAGATCACCTGACTGATCTGAACTCTTTCTAAAACATTTCCAGGCTCTTCAGTCACAGAAACGGTCAAAGCCCATGGCTCGATGTTCAGCAGTCATTAACTCCAGCATGGGGTTCAGCCATGTTCTCATCATTGGCTCAGGTTAGTGTTTTGTGCCTCTTCATTTAGTTTCACAACAAGGATACTGTCTCTGGTGACTCTAAATTCCAGGAGTTTCCTTTTGTTTACTCATTTTCAGTGTAATTCTTGTTTGGTAAACTCCAGGTCCAGCAGGTCTGGTGTGTGCGGAAACACTGAGGCAAGAGGGCTTCACTGATCGCATTGTCATGTGCACCATGGACAGACATCCTCCATATGAGAGGCCTAAACTGAGTAAGGTTTGTACACAGACCCCAACCACATAGACAGGGACAGAACTGACTTTGCTACACAACAGACTGCAGAGGTGCAGCTAAAACAGAACCTCTCTGGAGAACAGTTACTTAATAGCGATAAAGCTTTGAGGAAATAGACTCATGCAGAAGTAAACAGACACTGTAACCTAATCAAAAAGAATATGATTACTGCCATAAAAAGCTTGAAAAACACTTATTTGGCTTTATTTGCAATGAAAATCATAGATTATTAGTAACGGGCTGCTTATAGTTGTCCAAAAACATATTATACTCAGTGCCTCCTCTGGAGCTTTCGATCATATGGATCTTGGAAGCTAAGCAGGGCTGGGCTCTGCTGGGTCTGGTTATTATTGGATGGGAGACCACCTGAAAACACCAGGTTCTGTGGTTACACCTAGCCACTGATGTCACACAAGCAAATGCTCTCTTTGTGCTGATCCCAAGCCTGGATAAAAAGGGAGGGTGTGTCAAGAAGGGCATCCATTATAAAACCTGTGCCAACATGTTACTGTGACCCCCAGTAACTGGGAGTCAAATAAAAGTGTAGATGTGCAAAGTTCCCTTTTTTCTGAGTGGTGTTGGATAACCAAGGCTTTCTGAATCAATTGTGTTGAAAATGGTTCACAGTTTCAAAGCATTTGATGCTCAAAATGGCGGCATCTGCTGGCCAGGTCCTTGCATTTGTATTGGTGGAGTAAATCTGAGACCATGAAGTAACATTTAGGATAAAAGTATAATGCTTTTATTATTGTTATTTTGTTTTAATAAAGGTGGTATTATGAAAAAGAATCCCTTTTAAACTGATAAACTCTGTTTTTAAATAGAGATGAGAGGACATAAACATCTCTGATACACATGACAAAACGAGGCCCTTGTCTGGGGTGTTTTTTTTTTTGTTTTTTTTTTGTGGTGAAGTAAGTCAGTGACACACAAAACTTGAGCTTTGAAACATCCATACAGTGTCAAGTCTCCTGCTTCGAGCATAACATCACTACTTAAATGACTTCTCGTTCATGTTGTCTTAACAGTTGAAAATGAAAGTTCACGTTTGACTTTGGAAACAACATGGCAAAGGTTGCTTTTAGTTTGGGGTATTTTAATTGTATTTTTTTAATTGCCATACCCAACACTAACTTGCTAACCTTTAGTCCCTAGACAGCACAGCAGAGCAGCTGAGACTGCGCTCCATGGACTTCCTGCAGGACTATAACATTGAACTGCTCACAGAGAAAGAGGTAAGAGATGGTGAAGACTGACTAATGGTGGTAACTGACATGAGGATGTGTGATGGTATGGCACAGAAATTCAACTTGTATGACTGTGTAACTGCAATATTTTTCAGGCTGTGGCGATAGATGTGAAAACACGATCTGTGACCTTTGAAGATGGCTTGAGGATGGAATACAGGAAACTCTTTATCGCTACAGGAAGCAAGTAATGAAACACTTTTATTTTACATGATGATTAAGTACCTGAGATTATAAATGAATAAACTGACATCTTATTTGGCTTCTGTGTCCTGCTTGAAAGACCCAAACCAATGAACTACAAAGGCAAAGATGTCAAGAACGTGTTTCACCTCAGGACGCCCGAGGATGCTAACAGTATAGCAAGACTGGCCAACAACAAGAACGCTGTGATTGTGGGAACATCGTTTGTTGGTGAGAAAATGACACCTTTGTACTGGTTAAGATGGGGGACAAATTCAGGAAAAAAGCACCACAGAGTGCATTAGTAAAGTTGTAGGCCACCATATGCTTCGTCAAACTCTAGCTGCAAAAGCTCATTGACAACATTTTGCATAGGTATATATTAGGGTTGAGACTGTGTTTATCAGACCTCTAAGAATTACACTTAAGAATATGTCAAAGCAGTGACAGGTCTAGGATTTTATTAAATCAGGGGCTGTATTTTACACAGAGGGGCCATGTATATGCCCAACATTTGTGCACAGTTGTTTATTTAGTAAGTTTTATACATTTCACCAGTAAATTCATGTTTATTATTATTCACTCTTCATCTTTGAGCAAGGACACATCACTGAATGTTTTCCAAACTGTTTCTTAAAGTCCCATAAGTTCAAACACTTCTACTTCAAAAAAAGTTTAGAAAATCACAATTCTGAATTATTTTCATACTTGCACAAACACAAATGTTTTATACTTGTGTATAAAATATATATTTCATAATAATACTTTTCCCCAAGCATATAATAGATAAAATAAAACCCCTGATCTGTTATATTCGCCCATGTTATGATCCGGTTCTGAAGTTCTCTTTTGAACTTTTATTTTGAAGTATTTTCTGTTTTTTGCTGCCTCTCTTGTCCCAGCTTTGCTTTAGTTTTTGATTACTCCCGATTGCTTTCACCTGTTGCTTGTTAGCTTCCTGTTACCCTCTGCCTGTGTCATTGTGTCTGTTTGTTTGCCTCCACTCCTGTCCTTATTAAACCTTGTTCTTTGGTCAAGTTACCCATACTCTTCATTTGGGTTCTGTCTAAAATATGCTGGCAGATCATTGCTGACCTTTAACCAGTGAGTTTTGTGAAGAACAGAACATTAGCACAGAGAAGAAGCTGAGGCCAGTGTCCCCTGGATCTGCCCCTGTTTCAAAGAGCCAGCATTCAAGTAAAATAAACTTACTTGCCGAGTGTGAAGTGCAGAACACATTAAGTAACTCAGTTCTCATACTTGCACTGTAGCAAAGTGCAAGAATAGCCCATAAGAGCGACTTTCAAGCAATCACTTGATTAATCACACCTAATCAGAGACAGGACTTTCCCCTTCATCTGCTTCACTGCTTAAAAAAAAAATCCTCGCATATTATTTGATGTTATTCTGCATAATACAATTCAGATTATGTGAAATTCGTAATATCTCCAGTGGTGAAAAAACAAGAAAAAATGCAACTGAAAAGACATGGAAACACTTGCAAATGTTTTGTTTAACCTCTTATTTATTCCAGTTTTTCCTTTAATTGCTGCACAAGTTAACTGTACTGTACATTGTATTGGCAGGTATGGAGGTGGCTGCAGCTCTAACTGACAAGGCCCACTCTGTCTCTGTTG